TATGGCAATGGCACATTTAGAACGAACGACTGGGATACAGTCCATAGATCCATAGATACAGAACAAAAAGACTGAACGACTGGGTCGCGTCCATAGATACAGAACAAAAAGACTGAACGACTGGGTTGCGTCCATAGATACAGAACAAAAAGTGAACGACTGGGTCGCGTCCATAGATACAGAACAAAAAAACTGAATGACTGGGTCGCGTCTCTGGCAATCGAACTGATAGAACGAATGACCAGCCGGCTTGGGTAGCGACCCTAGATTTTTGTCTGGACTAGCAGGGGCTGGGACTGGGACTGGAGCAGGGGCTGAGGGTCTTCGTGTGGTTGCTGGGGAGGAGGTGCTGTTGGACGGCACAGTGCTGCTAGTTCCAGGAGAGGCGGTGGTGGGACCCGGTAGCTGAAGGGTCAAAAGGGAAGAGGCCACACTTCTTAAACCCTTCCACCACATAGCGCATGTCCTTGCAGTGCTGGTACGGGTAGCGGAATACTCTGGTAAATTCTGATTTGTTTACCATGTAGGAGTGGTCAAAATGGCTAAGGTCTCCAGCTACCTTGGAGAACTCAGCCTTTAAAGGGCCAAAGTATGCCACGTCCAGCGGCTGCAGGACATGGGTGCAGTGTGGTGGAAGACAAAGAAGTATAACCCCTTCTCTTAGTGCCACCGCGAGCACCTCCGGATCCATGTGGCTCTTGTGCCCATCGAAGAGGAGAAGGAGAGGGCGCTCCTTCACTGCATGCTTAATGAAGTGCTGAAACCACTTCCTGAACAGGTCCCCGTCAATGTAGCCACTGTTTGACCGTCCATACATGGGTTGGGGTGGGCCTCCCAGTGTGTAGTGGCCACCGGGGAAACACTTGGGGTAGATGATAAATGGGGGGACGTCCTCCCCAGCTGCATTGAAGCAGGCCAGCACTGTGATGTGCTCCTTGTTCCCCGGATCCTCCTGGTACACATGTTTTGCGCCCCGGGGAGCCAGCACTTTGTGCCTGCTCTGGTCGCTACGAAACCCAGACTCATCGCAGTTATAGATTTGTCTGGGTTTCTCCCTCAACCCACTCTCCTCCAAGTGCTTCTCATAAGAAGTGAAGAAGGTGTCCATCGTCGGACGTGTGGCACACTCAGCTCTCCCCCTGTCCAGGTGTCATGCTCAGGTTCTTGTGCCTCCTCCTGAACATTTCCCACCACCTCTTCCCCAGTGGTGGGATTGTTTCCCCTGGGTGCCGAAACCTGCAATAGAATAGAATATATAATTGTCCATCCAGGATGAAACTGTTTGTTTTGGCATCACCATACACATCCACATTTACATCACACATATTGAGAACAGTCAGTCCAGCATTCTACATACATAAACACATAGAACACCAAATACCTGTGTATTTTGTCGGTGTATTTCATCAGCCTCTGTCTGGTGAAGGGGAACCCATGGCTGCCGCAGTAGATACAGTACTGCACCAGATAATTTTCATCCTCTGGTGCAAGCAATGTGGGTGGTCCACTGCGACAACCATTGGTCACCCGGCCGCTCAGCCTGTCCGCCAGGGTCTGCCGAGGTACACCATGCACCTTGGTAGATAAGAAAATAAAACTGTTACTAGCAGATAAAATTCACATACACGTGGTAATCTCCTAAAAACAAAAGATGCCTAATCTTGGCAGCCTGGCGGAGAGCCATCCCTGCCCCGCAGTCCTCCATGGCATGGAACATGTCCACCTCACTCCACTGCTTCCTCTTGACTTTCTCCATGCTGTGGTGGTAAATACATGTAGCTAAATAACTTGGCATACTATAAAACTTTTAGAAAGATAACTCAATCTGAATATGTATACAAATGTACATTTCAAAGCTAAGGCATTGAAAGGTGATGATGAAAGTTTTCACAATAACAAAGTGTACTCACGTTTTTTGTTTGATGTTATCTGTAATGAAAATTAGTGTCCCAATTAGTTTAATATTGATGCATACATTGTAACATTTGACTAAATACTGCCTCTATGTAGCTGTTGTAAGATGAAATATAGCCAACAGTGATAGGTGTCAAAAAGTTCATGGTTCAAGATTCTAAATTAATTTTCAGAGGACTCCAATTTTGATACGGTAAAGCTTGACAACATTCAGCTGTTTTCGTGATATGTATTATCTAACGCTTAAAATGTCTTTCATTTTTGCTTACTTAGCAGTTCTATCAACATTTAGCAACTAAGCTAGCAACATCAGAAAATCTGTTAGCTATATTTAAAAGGTAAAAAGTTGGATATTAAATTGTGTGGTCTGTTGCGCAGTCGAATTTTACAATATACAGCGTGTCCCACAAAATGTGTGTATATATATATAACTTTTTTGAAAACTCACAACCTAATTTAAGTTACATAAATTGCAATGAAAATCGGTGGTCAGCTAGCTAGAATGGTGTCTTTAATCGCAAAATGTACCGTTATTGTCCAGTCCATTTAAATGTTGAGCTCGAGGTGATTTAGTCCTGGAATAACTTCACATGCGCATTTATGCCATAGGCCTAAACTACTGTTAGCTCATAAAAGGGATTGGATTGCGCTGTTCGGGGAATCTAATTTAGAAACAGGCTACATCATAATTTTAGAAAATACATTCAAATCGTTGAAAACATTTTAGGGGTTTTAGCCGTAGGCTATAGGAAAGAATAGCTGGAAGAAGTAGGCCTATGTTGTACTGCAAGAGATTCAGAATCAGAATATAGAGAACTATACTTGTTGATTTCGGATTAACAGAAACTGTTAGGTTACATTCGGAGAGGAGGAACAGCCATGGAAGATTTCGGAATAGCCCTGGACAAAAATTCGCTGGAGTTGACCGTTGTGGACGTCTATGACATTGCCGCGGTCGTGGGTCAGGAGTTTGAATGCATTATCGATCAGTTTGGGTGCTAGGCTTTGCTGCGGCTGATGTCCAAAGTGGTCCGGGTTCTGGAAGTTCTGGAGGTGCTGGTCACACAAAACACACATAACCTAGAAACACAGGTCAAATCAACATATACAGAGACATTAAATATCATGTATGCGTGACATGAGATGAAAAAGCTCTCTGGTAAATATACTGTTGACTGTAAACGCTTTGTGGTTGCTATTTAAGACTGAATTCCTTTACCATTTAGATACAGTGGGGAGAACAAGTATTTGATACACTGCCGATTTTGCAGGTTTTCCTACTTACAATGCATGTAGAGGTCTGTAATTTTTATCATAGGTACACTTCAACTGTGAGAGACGGAATCTAAAACAAAAATCCAGAAAATCACATTGTATGATTTTTAAGTAATTAATTTGCATTTTATTGCATGACATAAGTATTTGATACATCAGAAAAGCAGAACTTAATATTTGGTACAGAAACCTTTGTTTGCAATTACAGAGATCATACGTTTCCTGTAGGTCTTGACCAGGTTTGCACACACTGCAGCAGGGATTTTGGCCCACTCCTCCATACAGACCTTCTCCAGATCCTTCAGGTTTCGGGGCTGTTGCTGGGCAATACGGACTTTCAGCTCCCTCCAAAGATTTTCTATTGGGTTCAGGTCTGGAGACTGGCTAGGCCACTCCAGGACCTTGAGATGCTTCTTACGGAGCCACTCCTTAGTTGCCCTGGCTGTGTGTTTCGGGTCATTGTCATGCTGGAAGACCCAGCCACGACCCATCTTCAATGCTCTTACTGAGGGAAGGAGGTTGTTGGCCAAGATCTCACGATACATGGCCCCATCCATCCTCCCCTCAATACGGTGCAGTCGTCCTGTCCCCTTTGCAGAAAAGCATCCCCAAAGAATGATGTTTCCTCCTCCATGCTTCACGGTTGGGATGGTGTTCTTGGGGTTGTACTCATCCTTCTTCTTCCTCCAAACACGGCGAGTGGAGTTTAGAACAAAAAGCTCTATTTTTGTCTCATCAGACCACATGACCTTCTCCCATTCCTCCTCTGGATCATCCAGATGGTCATTGGCAAACTTCAGACGGGCCTGGACATGCGCTGGCTTGAGCAGGGGGACCTTGCGTGCGCTGCAGGATTTTAATCCATGACGGCGTAGTGTGTTACTAATGGTTTTCTTTGAGACTGTGATCCCAGCTCTCTTCAGGTCATTGACCAGGTCCTGACGTGTAGTTCTGGGCTGATCCCTCACCTTCCTCATGATCATTGATGCTCCACGAGGTGAGATCTTGCATGGAGCCCCAGACCGAGGGTGATTGACCGTCATCTTGAACTTCTTCCATTTTCTAATAATTGCGCCAACAGTTGTTGCCTTCTCACCAAGCTGCTTGCCTATTGTCCTGTAGCCCATCCCAGCCTTGTGCAGGTCTACCATTTTATCCCTGATGTCCTTACACAGCTCTCTGGTCTTGGCCATTGTGGAGAGGTTGGAGTCTGTTTGATTGAGTGTGTGGACAGGTGTCTTTTATACAGGTAACGAGTTCAAACAGGTGCAGTTAATACAGGTAAAGAGTCGAGAACAGGAGGGCTTCTTAAAGAAAAACTAACAGGTATGTGAGAGCCGGAATTCTTACTGGTTGGTAGGTGATCAAATACTTATGTCATGCAATAAAATGCAAATTAATTACTTAAAAATCATACAATGTGATTTTCTGGATTTTTGTTTTAGATTCCGTCTCTCACAGTTGAAGTGTACCTATGATAAAAATTACAGACCTCTACATGCTTTGTAATTAGGAAAACCTGCAAAATCGGCAGTGTATAAAATACTTGTTCTCCCCACTGTATAGTGTTACTGTCTATTGGTAATGCTCTGTATAAAGCTACATAACATTCTGAAGTATTTAAGTTCAGAAACATTATTTTAGCAGTATTAGTTCTATCTGTTACATTATCACAGTTGTTTTTTATTTACAACAGTATGTGCTGATACATGTTTGTGTTAAGCTGTATGTGTGTATCTCTTGGACAGGCGTGTCAGAGAGAGAGCGTCAGGTGATGAAGAAGCTAAAGGAGGTGGTAGACAAACAGAGGGATGAGATCCGGGATTAAGAACGAGGACCTGGAGGCTGTGAGGCTTGTCTCTTTCCTTCTAGTAGCATTCCACACACCCTGATCTACATAACTCCTCCCCCCTAGGCCTCCTACTGTCTGTAGCCTAATGCTCCAGCACATAGATGGTTCACACTCCCTGGGCTTTCTTTTGTTCACATGCCTGAGAACGACAACAACTTCCACCAACAATCTGGACCCCTCAGAGTGTTTCCATCAGTTCATTACGTGAGGCTTCACTCATTCTCTGACCATGATCCTTTTCAAGCCTTTTACTTCTTAGTTTCTGCCATATTGCTCTCATTTAGGCCATCTGTAGCTCAGTTGGTAGAGCATGGCGTTTGCAACGCCAGGGTTGTGGGTTCGATTTCCCACGGGGGGCCAGTATGAAAATGTATGCACTCACTAACTGTAAGTCGCTCTGGATAAGAGCGTCTGCTAAATGACTAAAATGTAAAATGTAAAATGTAAATGTAATTACAGTATCATTCATTACACAAAGTAGGATTAAATGGACTTCTTCCTCCCCTCATAGCTTCAGCTGCAGCAGCACCGTCTGATGAAGATCAACCTGGACCTGCGGCACAGGATCAGTGTGGTGGAGGCTCAGGGCAAGGCAGTGATCCAGCAGAAGGCTGAGCTCGAGGCTATGTCCCAGGCTCGCCAGCAGGAGCTTGGGGCCCTGCAGCAGGAGGTGGCCAGGCTGAAGGAGGAGCGTCAAGAGTGGGAGCTGTACAGGAAGGGGGCAGCCGAGAAGGAACTGCCCCCCTCAGAGTCTGTGATGACAGTGCCTACACCATTGCTGGCCAAGGCAACCACAGCGTCAACCCCCTCCCTGATCTAGTCTATTACTTTTCCCTTTAACACGGCATTACGTATCCATAAGCTTTTCCTCATGGAGTTAAGTTTATATGCAAATTACATAGAGACAGGGTTGGAACTTCACTATTGACAAGAACATAATAATATTACTCCCACCCAAGGAGGGTAAGTCATTTTTGTAGATTTGGTTATTGAATATTGTTGCCACCCACCATAAATACATCTTTCTCAGTACTGAAAGTGACCATGCTATGTCCCAAATCCAGTCCTTGGTACCAGCATCAGCAGCCTCCATCGTGCACAATTATTTTTGGGCGGAATGCAGAGGTAACCATGAATTCCTGGGAGAGTGCTTTGAGTCAGAAGAGAGTCCTCCGCTTCTCCCCCTGTGTGATGAGGAGCAGGATGAGGCGCCTGATGCCCTGGACCAGAAGGAGTCTGACAGGCCCCGCTTCACCCTCCAGGATCTACAAGACGTCCTGCAGGAAAGGAATGAACTCAAAGCCCAAGTGTTCATGCTGCGAGAGGAGCTAATCTATTACAAAAGGTTACATGATTGACATATGCTATGTGAGAAAACAAAGGGGGAATTTTTTAAAAATAAGACAATAACATGGAGATGAGGGACTAGGGATTAGGGACTACTAAGTGGTTCTACTAAGATAACATGGAATTGTTTTAAGATGGTCATACCATGGATCATTTAGCTATTGGATTTTGAATTTTACGACCCCTGTAGGTATATACTTATTTTTATTTTTTTGATAAAATATTGAATTTGACCTCTACTACTATAGCCCATAGAAACACATTGAATGGCACATTCATAAATGGCAAAACAGACAGTCAAAAAAAAATCCTAAAAAATAAGGTTTTGAGGTGTCTCCGTTTTGCTCTACGAACCCCACAAGCCCGACAGGACTCGTCTGAAGTCGGTACCGCCGATGTGCCAACTTCTGTCTGTAGCGTCCGAACCGTTTGGACTACAAACTAATATGACTATGACCCCTACAAGTGTCACGGGACTCATCTAGGAGAAATAAGAAAGCTCAGGAAATATTTTAGTTTTTTGGACACATATTTAACCCCTTTTTAAAACTAGCTCCATACTTCCATTCATTTTTTAAACTGGTACTGGGTTACCTTCAGATGAGTCCCGTGACACTTGTGGGGGTCGTAGTCATATTAGTTTGTAGTCCAAACGGTTTGGACGCTACAGACAGAAGTTGGCACATCGGCGGTACCGACTTACATTTACATGTACATTTACGTCATTTAGCAGACGCTCTTATCCAGAGCGACTTACAAATTGATGCATTCACCTTATAGCCAGTGGGATAACCACTTTACAATATGTATTATTATTATATATATATTATTTTTTGGGGGGTGGGGTGGGGTAAGGGGGGGGTAGAAGGATTACTTTATCCTATCCCAGGTATTCCTTAAAGAGGTGGGGTTTCAAGTGTCTCCGGAAGGTGGTGAGTGACTCCGCTGTCCTGGCGTCGTGAGGGAGCTTGTTCCACCATTGGGGTGCCAGAGCAGCGAACAGTTTTGACTGGGCTGAGCGGGAACTGTGCTTCCGCAGAGGTAGGGGGGCCAGCAGGCCAGAGGTGGATGAACGCAATGCCCTCGTTTGAGTGTAGGGACTGATCAGAGCCTGAAGGTACGGAGGTGCTTTTCCCCTCACAGCTCCGTAGGCAAGCACCATGGTCTTGTAGCAGATGCGAGCTTCAACTGGAAGCCAGTGGAGTGTGCGGAGGAGCGGGGTGACGTGAGAGAACTTGGGAAGGTTGAACACCAGACGGGCTGCGGCATTCTGGATGAGTTGTAGGGGTTTAATGGCACAGGCAGGGAGCCCAGCCAACAGCGAGTTGCAGTAATCCAGACGGGAGATGACAAGGCTCTTTGCACTCTGGGAGGAGGACACAATGGAATTGTCAACCATGATGGCGAGAATATGGAACGGGCAGTCCTTCCCCGGGAGGAAGAGCAGCTCCGTCTTGCCGAGGTTCAGCTTAAGGTGGTGATCCGTCATCCACACTGATATGTCTGCCAGACATGCAGAGATGCGATTCTCCACCTGGTTATCAGAAGGGGGAAAGGAGAAGATGAGTTGTGTGTCGTCTGCGTAGCAATGATAGGAGAGGCCATGTGAGGATATGACAGAGCCAAGTGACTTGGTGTATAGCGAGAATAGGAGAGGGCCTAGAACTGATCCCTGGGGGACACCAGTGGTGAGAGCACGTGGTGCGGAGACAGATTCTCGCCACGCCACTTGGTAGGAGCGACCGGTCAGGTAGGACGCAATCCAAGAGTGAGCCGCGCCGGAGATGCCCAACTCGGAGAGGGTGGAGAGGAGGATCTGATGGTTCACAGTATCAAAGGCAGCAGACAGGTCTAGAAGGACAAGAGCAGAGGAGAGAGAGTTAGCTTTAGCAGTGCGGAGAGCCTCTGTGACACAGAGAAGAGCAGTCTCAGTTGAATGACCAGTCTTGAAACCTGACTGGTTTGGATCAAGAAGGTCATTCTGAGAGAGATAGCAAGAGAGTTGGCTAAAGACGGCACGCTCAAGAGTTTTGGAGAGAAAAGAAAGAAGGGATACTCGCCTGTAGTTGTTGACATCAGAGGGATCGAGTGTTGGTTTTTTGAGAAGGGGTGCAACTCTCGCTCTCTTGAAGACGGAAGGGGCATAGCCAGCGGTCGAGGATGAGTTGATGAGCGAGGTGAGGTAAGGGAGAAGGTCACCGGAGATGGTCTGGAGAAGAGAGGAGGGGATAGGGTCAAGCGGGCAGGTTGTTGAGCGGCCGGCCGGCCGTCACAAGTTGCAAGATTTCATCTGGAGAGAGAGGGGAGAAAGAAGTCAAAGCATAGGGTAGGGCAGTGTGAGCAGGACCAGCAGTGTCATTTGACTTAACAAACGAGGATCGGATGTCGTCAACCTTCTTTTCAAAATGGTTGACGAAGTCATCCACAGAGAGGGAGAAGGGGGGAGAAGATGGCAAAGATGGCAGATGCTTGGAATTTAGAGTGGTAGAAAGTGGCTTTAGCAGCAGAAACAGATGAAGAAAATGTAGAGAGGAGGGAGTGAAAAGATGCCAGGTCCGCAGGGAGTCTAGTTTTCCTCCATTTCCGCTCGGCTGCCCGGAGCCCTGTTCTGTGAGCTCGCAATGAGTCGTCAAGCCACGGAGCAGGAGGGGAGGACCGAGCCGGCCGGGAGGATAGGGGACATAGAGAGTCAAAGGATGCAGAAAGGGAGGAGAGGAGGGTTGAGGAGGCAGAATCAGGAGATTGGAGGGAGAAGGAATGAGCAGAGGGAAGAGATGATAGGATGGAAGAGGAGAGAGTAGCGGGAGAGAGAGAGCGAAGGTTGCGACGGCTCGTTACCATCTGAGTAGGGGCAGAGTGAGTAGTGTTGGAGGAGAGCGAGAGAGAAAAGGATACAAAGTAGTGGTCGGAGACATGGAGGGGAGTTGCAGTGAGATTAGTAGAAGAACAGCATCTAGTAAAGATGAGGTCAAGCGTATTGCCTGCCTTGTGAGTAGGGGGGGACGGTGAGAGGGTGAGGTCAAAAGAGGAGAGGAGTGGAAAGAAGGAGGCAGAGAGAAATGAGTCAAAGGTAGACGTAGGGAGGTTGAAGTCACCCAGAACTGTGAGGGGTGAGCCATCCTCAGGAAAGGAACTTATCAAGGCGTCAAGCTCATTGATGAACTCTCCAAGGGAACCTGGAGGGCGATAAATGACAAGGATGTTAAGCTTGAATGGGCTAGTGACTGTGACAGTCCCGTCGGGCTTGTGGGGTTCGTAGAGCAAAACGGAGAACACCATCGTGTCTGTGAGAGTCTCATCTTTCCATAGAGTATTTGTATTCCAAACCGTTCAGACACTACAGACATTTTCATGAGAAGACCAATTTTGGGGATGTCTCATGGTCTGACAAACACTGGTGTAGCTCGGCCACCTTCCACCACAGATGCGGAAGGCTGACATAGGCAGATGCGGTGGATTGAGAAGTAGCCCATAGATATACTACATTACCAAAAGTATGTGGACACCTGCTTGTGGAACATCCCATTCCAAAATCATGGGCATTAATATGGAGTTGGTCCCCTTTTTGCTGCTATAACAGCCTCCACTCTTCTGGGAAGGCTTTCCACTAGATGTTGGAACATTGCTGCGGGGACTTGCTTCCATTCAGCCACAAGAGCATTAGTGATGTTGGGCGATTAGGCCTGGCTCGCAGTTGGCGTTCCAATTCATCCCAAAGGTGTTCGATGGGGTTGAGGTCAGGGCTCTTTGCATGCCAGTCAAGTTCTTCCACACCGATTTCGACAAACCATTTTTGTATGAACCTCACTTTGTGCACGGGGGCATTGTCATGCTGAAACAGGAAAGGCCAGCCCCAAACTGTTGCCACAAAGTTGGAAGCACAGAATCATCTAGAATGTCATTGTATGCTGTAGCGTTAAGCTTTCCCTTCACTGGAACTATGGGGCTTAGCCCAAACCATGAAAAACAGCCACAGATCATTATTCCTCTTTCACCACCAAACTTTACAGTTGGCACTATGCATTGGCGCAGGTAGCGTTCTCCTGGCATCCGCCAAACCCAGATTCGTCTGTCGGACTGCCAGATGGTGAAGCGTGATTCATCACTCCAGAGAACGCGTTTCCACTGCTCCAGAGTCCAATGGCAGCGAGCTTTACACCACTTTTTTCATGAAGCTCCCGACGAACAGTTCTTGTGCTAACGTTGCTTCCAGAGGCAGTTTGGAACTATGTAGTAAGTGTTGCAACTGAGGACAGACGATTTTTACGCCCTACGTGCTTCAGCACTCGGCGGTCCTGTTCTGTGAGCTCGCAGCTGAGCCGTTGTTGCTCTTAGACGTTTCCACTTCACAATAACAGCACTTACAGTTGACTGGGGCAGCTCTAGCAGGGCATAAATTTGACGAACTGACTTGTGTGAAAGGTGGCATCCTATGACGGTGCCACATTGAAAGTCACTGAGCTCTTCAGTAAGGCCATTCTACTGCCAATGTTTGTCTATGGAGATTACTTGGCTGTTTGCTCAATTTTATACACCTGGCTAAAATAGCCAAATCCACTAATTTTAAGGGATGTCCACATACTTTTGTATATATAGTGTATCTCTCGCTTAAACTGACGGATTTTGATGGGGATTTTTTGATTATGTTATTTAGATTGATGCACAGGTGCGTCAGTAGACTCTTAAGGATGTTTAATTATGTTATTGATATGTACTTAATAATGATGTCGTATCCCACTTCATCATTTGGATTTAGAAGATTTAGTTCATAATACAAACACTTGCTAGCCCCGTCTTCACTAAGTCCACACTATTTTAATGACTCCCTTCTCCTCCCTGCCTCAGCGAGGAGTTGGAGGATGAGATTAACAGCATCAACTGGGATCCACCCCATCAGTCAGAGCCTGCAACCGTTGAACAGCCTGACTCAGGGATCAAACACCTGTAAGTACTGAAACCCACCAGGTCTACGCCAAAGTTCCTCACTCTTCAGCCACCCCGCCCCATCTCTCTTGATGGGTATGCGCTCAGGCCACACACACATACAGGTAACTGCCAAAATAAAGGATCTTAATAGGGCGTTGGGCCACCACGAGCCGCCAGAACAGCTTTAATGCGCGTTGGCATAGATTCTACAAGTGTCTGAAATTCTATTGGAGGGATGTGATACCATTCTTCCACAAGAAATTCCATAATTTGATGTTTTGTTGATGGTGGTGGGAAACGCTGTCAAAGGCGCCGCTCCAGAATCTCCCATATGTGTTCAATTGGGTTGATATCTGGTGACACACACCCTTTAACCACCTATGCTCCTTTGAGACCCCTCTTTCAAAGTCACTGAGATCTCTTCTTCTACCAATGGTAGCCAAAATAATGGGCAACTGGGCATTTTTATATGAGACCCTAAGCATGGTGGGATGTTAATTGCTTAAAAACTCAGGAACCACACCTGTGTGGAAGTACCTCCTTTCAATATACTTTGTATCTCTAATTTACTCAAGTGTTTCCTTTATTTTGGCAGTTACCTGTATTTGTACAGCCTATAATTCCCACAATTTAAGACATTTTCAAACAATGTTGTCAATGTCATGCTTCCTGTCATAGTGCTTCAGGCTTGCAGTCAGGGATTTTACCTAGATAATAGATCTGTATGTCACTAGCTACATTTCCATCCAATTGGCGAAAGATTTTCTTTCAAATATTCTAAAATCTGCACAAAGAAAATATGCGCATTTTCCCAACAGTGGTGTGTCCATCAAACTGACTTGTTGCGGATTGTCAAGGGGTGCTGAAGGTGGGTGTGGTGCATGAATCAAGCGCAGAACGCAGAAGCTCAGTCCAAAAGACTTTAGTGCAATATTCACGTAGAAAACAAGCACAATAAGCCCGAAGGCGAAATAACGGCGCACACAGGCGTCAAACAAACGGCGCACTAACATGTGCGAAAAACCTCTCCAAAACACTGGAGGGAAGTACGTAGCTCCAACACAAAACAGAAGAGCAATCACACACAAAGACAACACACACAACGAGAACTAAATAGGACACTAACGAGGACTAACAAGACACAGGTGTACAACATCAAGACAAAACCAAACGAACATGAAACATAGATCGGTGGCAGCTAGTACTCCGGGGACGACGACCGCCGAAGCCTGCCTGAACCAGGAGGAGGAGCAGCCTCGGCCGAAACCGTGACAGTACCCCCCCCTTGACGCGCGGCTCCAGCCGTGCGCCGACCCCGGCCTCGGGGACGATCAGGAGGACGCGGAGCAGGGCGCGCGGGATGGTCCCGGTGGAACTCCGACAGGAGAGATGGGTCTAGGATGTCCCTCCGCGGCACCCAGCACCGCTCCTCCGGGCCGTACCCCTCCCACTCCACGAGATACTGGAGACCCCCCATCCGGCGTCTTGAGTCCAAGATGGACCGAACGGTGTACGCCGGAGCCCCCTCGATGTCCAGTGGGGGCGGAGGAGTCTCCCCTATCTCATTGTCCTGGAGTGGACCAGCTACCACCGGCCTGAGAAGAGACACATGGAACGAGGGGTTAATATTCTTATACTCAACAGGTAGATGTAACCTATAACACACCTCGTTCAATCTTCTCAGGACTTTAAAGGGCCCCACAAACCGCCGACCCAGCTTCCGGCAGGGCAGGCGGAGGGGTAGGTTTCTGGTAGAGAGCCAGACTCGATCTCCGGGTGCGTACACCGGCCCCTCACTGCGGTGGAGATCGGCGCTCGCCTTGTGACGAAGGACGGCCCGCTGCAGGTGGACGTGGGCAGCGTTCCACGTCTCTTCCGAGCGCCTCATCCAATCATCCACCGCAGGGGCCTCGATCTGGCTCTGCTGCCAAGGTGCCAGAACCGGCTGGTAACCTAACACACATTGGAAGGGGGTTAGGTTGGTAGAGGAGTGGCGGAGAGAGTTCTGGGCCATCTCGGCCCAGGGAATGTACCGTGCCCACTCCTCCGGCCGGCCCTGGCAATACGACCTCAGAAACCTACCCACATCCTGGTTGACACGTTCTACCTGCCCGTTACTCTCCGGGTGGTACCCTGAGGTAAGGCTAACCGAGACCCCCAACCGCTCCATGAACGCTCTCCAAACACGGGAGGTAAACTGGGGGCCTCGATCAGACACTATATCCTCGGGTACCCCGTAATGCCGGAAGACGTGGGTAAATAGGGCCTCAGCGGTCTGTAGGGCAGTAGGAAGACCCGACATAGGGAGAAGACGACAGGCCTTAGAGAACCAGTCCACAACGACCAGGATGGTGGTATTCCCCTGAGAGAGGGGAAGGTCTGTCACAAAATCCACCGAGAGGTGGGACCATGGTCGTTGTGGAACGGGCAGGGGTTGTAACTTACCCCTGGGCAGATGTCGGGGCGCCTTACACTGGGCGCACACCGAGCAGGAGGAGACATAAACCCTCACATCCCTAGCCAAAGTGGGCCACCAGTATTTAGTGCTAAGGCAATGCACTGTCCGGCCAATACCCGGATGTCCAGAGGAGGGTGACGTGTGAGCCCAGTAAATGAGTCGATCCCGAATCTCGAGCGGAACGTACTTCCGACCCTCAGGACACTGTGGAGGGCTGGGGTCGGTACGCAACGCTCGCTCGATTTCGGCATCGACCTCCCACACCACCGGTGCCACAAGGCAAGACTCCGGTAGTATGGGAGTAGGCTCAACGGACCTCTCCTCCGTGTCATACCGCCGGGACAGCGCATCTGCCTTACCATTCTGGGACCCAGGGATGTACGTGATTTTAAATACGAACCTGGTGAGAAACATACTCCATCGAGCCTGGCGAGGGTTCAGTCTCCTCGCTGCCCGGATGTACTCCAGGTTCCGATGGTCAGTCAAAATGAGGAAAGGGTGTTGAGCCCCCTCAAGCCAATGCCTCCACACCTTAAGGGCTTGAACTACAGCTAACAGCTCCCTGTCCCCAACGTCATAGTTACGCTCCGCCGGGCTGAGCTTTTTTGAGTAAAAAGCACAGGGGCGGAGTTTAGGTGGCGTGCCGGACCGTTGAGAGAGAACGGCCCCTATACCAGCCTCAGACGCGTCTACCTCAACCTGAAAGGGTAATGCGGGATCCGGATGCGCCAGCACCGGAGCCGACGTAAACAGGTCCTTCAGTCTCCTAAAGGCCCTGTCCGCCTCAGCTGACCACTGCAGGCGCACCGGACCCCCTTTCAGAAGGGACGTGATGGGAGCTGCCACCTGTCCAAAACCCCGGATAAACCTCCGGTAGTAATTTGCAAAGCCCAAGAACTGCTGCACCTCTTTTACAGTGGTTGGAGTTTGCCAATTACGCACAGCGGACACACGATCCACCTCCATTCTCACCCCTGACGCGGACAACTGATAACCCAAAAAGGAGACCGACTCCTGGAAAAACAGACATTTCTCTGCCTTGACATATAGGTCGTGCTCCAACAGCCTCCTCAATACACGACGCACCAGGGTTATATGCTCGGCTCGGGTAGACGAGTACACCAGAATGTCATCAATGTACACGACCACCCCTTGTCCCTGCATATCCCGGAAAATGTCATCTACGAAGGATTGGAAGACTGATGGAGCATTCATCAACCCATATGGCATGACGAGATATTCGAAATGACCTGACGTGGTACTAAACGCTGTCTTCCATTCGTCGCCCTCCCTAATGCGCACCAAGTTATACGCGCTCCTGAGATCCAATTTTGTGAAAAACCGCGCTCCATGCAATGACTCTGTCATGGTCGCAATCAGAGGGAGTGGATAACTGTATTTCACAGTAATCTGATTGAGACCACGGTAATCAATGCACGGGCGCAACCCTCCATCTTTCTTCTTCACAAAAAAGAAGCTCGAGGAGGCGGGAGAAGTGGAGGGCCGAATGTATCCCTGTCTCAAAGATTCGGCTATGTAAGTCTCCATAGCTTTTCTCTCCTCTTGAGACAAAGGATACACGTGGCTCCGTGGGAGCGCTGCTCCTGCCTGGAGATCAATCGCACAATCCCCCTGTCTATGAGGAGGCAACTGCGTCGCCCTAGTTTTACTAAACACGAGAGCTAAATCCCCATATTCAGGCGGAATGTGCAGTGCGGGCACTTGGTTTGGACTTTCCACCGAAGTCGCCCCCACGGAAACACCCAGACATCGCCCCTCGCACTGAGCAGACCACCCATCGAGAGCCCTCTGTTGCCACGAAATAGCAGGGTTATGGGTGCTTAACCAGGGAATTCCCAGCACCACTGGGTACGCAGGAGAGTCGATCAGATACAGCTGTATAGCCTCTTCATGACCCCCCTGCGCACACATCCTAAGTGGTGCTGTGATCTCCCTAATCAACCCCAACCCCAACGGGCGGCTATCTAAGGCATGAACGGGAAAAGGTTTGTCAACAGGTAGGAGAGGGATCCCTAAATCTAAACAAAACTTCCGATCAACAAAATTCCCAGCTGCGCCTGAATCTACTAGCGCCTTATGCTGGGAATGAGGTGCAACCTGTGGAAAACACACAGGTATACAAAAGTGCGCAACAGAAAGCTCTGGGTAAGTGGGACGTCTACTCACCTGGGAGGCCCCCCCAGTGCGTGGCCTGTTGTCTTCTTCCCCGGAGAACCCTCCCCAGCACCTGGCCGCAGTGTGCCCTCCACGACCGCACTTGGTGCAGGAGACAGGCCCCCTCGGGCTCCTCCTCCTCCTTTCTCTAGCGCCGGCACCCCGAGCTCCATAGGGCTCGGCTCGGAGGTGCCGGAGGGCGGAATGGACGGACCCCCCTCGGGACGTCCACGGGTGGCCAGCAGGGTGTCCAGACGGATGGACATATCGACCAACTGGTCGAAGGTGAGATGGGTATCCCTGCAGGCCAACTCACGTTGAACGTCCTCCCGTAGGCTACATCGAAAATGGTCGATGAGGGCCCGTTCATTCCACCCTGCGTCCGCCGCTAGAGTCCGGAACTCTAGAGCAAATGCCTGTGCGCTCCTCCTCCCCTGTCTCAGGTGGACTAGACGCTCCCCCGCCGCTTTGCCCTCAGGAGTATGGTCGAACACGGCCTTGAAGCGGTGGGAGAACTCGACGTAGGAGATGGTGTTGGCGTCCATCTTCCTCCACTCGGCGTTAGCCCACTCCAACGCCTTGCCCGTGAGACAGGAGATGAGGGCGGAAACGCTCTCGTGTCCCGAGGGCACCGGGTGTACAGTGGCCAGGTAGAGCTCCACCTGCAGGAGGAACCCCTGACACCCGGCAGCTGTTCCGTCATACGCCCTCGGGAGCGAGAGCCGAATCCCCCTGGGTTCCGGACCTGGGACTGGTGGACCGGCCGATGGGGTTGGCAGGGTAGGTGGAGGTGTGGGTACCCCGCTGGCCTCCCATCGGTGCAGGGTATTGATGACGTCCTGTAGAGCGGTCCCCAGTTGTCGTATCTGGTCATCTTGGCCGCGAACATGCTCCTCGAGCAACTCAGGCGTAACTGCAGATCCTGCTGATTCCATTTTGGTGTGTGATTCTGTCAAGGGGTGCTGAAGGTGGGTGTGGTGCATGAATCAAGCGCAGAACGCAGAAGCTCAGTCCAAAAGACTTTAGTGCAATATTCACGTAGAAAACAAGCACAATAAGCCCGAAGGCGAAATAACGGCGCACACAGGCGTCAAACAAACGGCGCACTAACATGTGCGAAAAACCTCTCCAAAACACTGGAGGGAAGTACGTAGCTCCAACACAAAACAGAAGAGCAATCACACACAAAGACAACACACACAACGAGAACTAAATAGGACACTAACGAGGACTAACAAGACACAGGTGTACAACATCAAGACAAAACCAAACGAACATGAAACATAGATCGGTGGCAGCTAGTACTCCGGGGACGACGACCGCCGAAGCCTGCCCGAACCAGGAGGAGGAGCAGCCTCGGCCGAAACCGTGACACGGATAAAAATCAGTGTGTGATGACGTAGTGCACACAAAATATATATTTTTTGCTTATGTTTTCATGTACCGAATAAAAATCAAAAGTTCAATGTGTTTTCATCGCATTTTCAACTCTACCAATAGATTTCTCACAAAAACTGTTGCGTTAAATAGCAAATGTGCATACTCTGGTCTTGGCACATGTGCTCTAGCCAACAGTTTGCAGATACAGTGTGGGTAGGCTAGTCTACATGATGAGATTATTATGGATAAGAGCAAGAATATTTTTATTTGTCAAACGGCAGTCATGCAACAATCATCATGTCATCAGAATAAGACCCTCGATATTTATTGGAAAGGAGCATCAAGCTCATCACCACACACTTTCACCACCCTGTCAAGTTCATCATCTTATTTCATCTGTAGCCTAATAAACTGCATGGTTTCGTGGGAGGACAATACACCATATCATCGCGTGACCCCAAGTTTACTTCGATATGATGGTTATTATATCAATATTTGCGCATAAAAAGCGTTTCCACCGCCATTTCTTGCAATCATTAATCCTACCAACACAAACAGATCCCACTATGTCGAACGGAACGAACACATTTTCTGTCTGCATTTATACAATTGTACCGAAATGTCCTGTTTCCATCACAGCTGTCGTTGTTTAATTTGTTATACTGTATGACTTTACTCGTAGAAAAACTGTGAATGGAAACGTGCTTACTGACCAGTATGTTTGCGTGAGCACTAAAACAAATAATGACAACTTAGTTTCCACAATGCTTGTTTGGGGTGTTATAATTGTGGAAGAACCTGTAACAGGACGAAGGGATGATGTTTCAGCACCATTCTGTGAAATTTTTCAACTATCATAATAATTTCATGAAGGTAATTTAAATTTAAAAATAATTGTAAAGTTCATGAAGGGGAGACAAATTACCTCACTCCTGGCGCCGACGAAGATGGCGGCCTCACGACTAGCTCTTAGGAAACTTTGCAGTATTTTTTTTTTTTTATGTATGACTTTTTACATTATTAGCTCAGAAAGTGTTTTGTATCATTACATACAGCCGGGAAAAACTATTGGATATCAGAGCGGCGGTAACTCACCAGCATTACGACCAGGAATACGACTTTCCCGAAGCAGATCCTTTGTTTGCTCTCCCCAGGGCAATTGAACTGATTACAGCTGCTGACCCAAAACATCGCCGGCGGAGGAGAGGCACTCGGAGCGGCCTGCTGGTTTACCTTAGGAGGCGCGCACACCACCCACCGCTTCCAAGTATACTACTCGCTAATGTTCAGTCTTTGGATAACAAAGTCGACGAGCTCAGGGCAAGGATTTCTTTCCAGAGAGACATCAGGGCCTGTAATATACTTTGTTTCACGGAAACATGGCTCTCTGGGGATATTGTGTGGAAATCGTACCAGCCAGATGGGTTCTCAGTTCATCGCGCAGACAGAAATAAATATCTCTCCGGGAAGCAGAAGGGCGAAGGTGTGTGTTTCATGATTAACGACTCATGGTGTAATTGTAGTAACATACAGGAACTCAAGTCCTTTTGTTCACCCGACCTAGAATACCTCATAATCAAATGCCGACCGTATTATCTCCCAAGATAATTTTCTTCGGTTATAGTCACGGCCGTGTATATCCCCCATCAAGCCGATACCACGACGGCCCTCAAAGAACTTCACTGGACTTTATGCAAACGGGAAACCACATATCCTGAGGCTGCATTTATTGTAGCCAGGGATTTTAACAAAGCAAATTTGAGGACTAGGCTGACTAAGTTCTATCAACATATCGACTGTTGTACTTGGGCTGCTAAAATCCTTGACCATTGCTATTTGAACTTCCGGGATGGTTATAAGGCCCTCCCCCGCCCTCCTTTCGGCATATCTGACTGTCACGGTTTCGGCCGAGACTGCTCCTCCTCCTAGTTCGGGCAGGCTTCGGCGTTCGCCGTCCCCGGAGTACTAGCTGCCACCGCTCTATGTTTCGTCATTTGATTGCTTTTGTCTGTTACACCTGTGTCCATTTGTGTGTTGATTACGTGTCTTATAAGTTCCTTGTTTTGCACTAGAATGATTGTGTGTTGTTATGACTGCCACTGTGTCGGAGCTACGTGTTTGCACCCTGTTTGTTTTGTGTTTAGTGTTTACGCGTGTGCGTAATTTTCCCTCGCCTCTTGGTGTATTTTGAGGTCGGGGTTTTTTCCTCGTAAACATTGGACTATTAAAGTCTGTTGGACTTCACCTCTGTGTCCTGTGCCTGACTCCTCCACCACATCCACATCGGTTCTAGTGACAGAACAACACACCACCATGGAGTCAGCAGGAACAGCGGCGGCACCCGAATCCCTGGAAGACCGGATCAACTACCAGGACACCATGATCCGGCAACTCGGGGCCGCCATGGACGAGGTGTCCAACACTCTGCGCCGATTGGTGAATCGAGAGGTGCCCACGCACTCTTACAACATCCCATCACCAACGGCCAGTCCTCCTCTCTCAGCACCGGAACCCAGTGGCATTCGGCTCTCGCTCCCGAGGGCATATGACGGTTCTGCAGCCGGGTGTCAGGGATTCCTCCTGCAGGTGGAACTTTACCTTGCCACCATACACCCGGCGCCCTCGGGATACGAGAGCGTCTCCGCCCTCATCTCCTGTCTATCCGGCAAGGCGTTGGAGTGGGCCAACGCCGAATGGAGGGGAATAGACGCCGCAACCATCACCTACGCGGAGTTCTCCCGCCGCTTCAGGGCTGTCTTCGATCATCCACCTGAGGGGAAAGCGGCGGGAGAGCGTCTATTCCACCTCCGACAGGGGAAGAGGAGCGCACAGGAGTTCGCACTGGAGTTCCGGACACTAGCGGCGGATGCGGGGTGGAATGAGTGGGCCCTCATCGACCACTACCGGTGTAGCCTACGAGAGGACGTTCGTCGTGAGCTGGCCTGCAGGGACACCAACCTGTCGTTCGACCAGTTGGTGGACATTTCCATCCGTCTAGACACCCTGCTGGCTACCCGCGGACGTCCCGAGTGGGGGTCGTCCATTCCACCCTCCAGCACCTCCGAGCCGATTCCCATGGAGCTCGGGGGTGCTGGCGCTAGAGAGAGGAGGAGAGGGAACCCGAGGTGGGCCATCCCCTGCACCACCTGTGGTCGTGGAGGACACACCGCGGCCAGGTGCTGGGGAGGGTCTCCTGGGAGAGGTGACAACAGGCCACGCACTGGGGAGTCATTTCAGGTGAGTAGGCGCCCCACTTACCCAGAGCTTTCTGTTGGTCACATGAGTATTCCTGTGAGATTTCCACAGGTGGCACCTCATTCCCAGCATAAGGCGCTAGTAGATTCAGGCGCAGCTGGGAACTTTATTGATCGGGCATTTTGTTGTAGGTTAGGAATTCCCCTTCGGCCGGTAGAAGCTCCATTTCCTGTCCACGCATTAGACAGCCGGCCGTTGGGGTCGGGCCTGATCAGGAAGGTCACAGCACCACTGACGATGACGACGCAGGGGGGTCATGAGGAGATCATTCAGTTTTATCTGATTGACTCTCCTGCGTACCCCGTGGTGTTGGGCCTTCCCTGGTTAAGCACCCATGATCCTACCATAGCGTGGCAACAGAGGGCTCTGATGGAGTGGTCTGCCCAGTGTGTAGGGAGATGTCTAGGTGTTTCCGTAGGGGCGACCTCGGTAGAGAGTCCGAACCAAGTGCCCGCACTGCGCATTCCCCCTGAGTATGAGGATTTAGCACTCGTGTTTAGCAAATCGAGGGCAACACGGCTACCTCCTCATAGACAAGGGGACTGTGCGATAAATCTCCAGACAGGAGCGGCTCTTCCACGGAGTCGTGTGTATCCCCTGTCTCAAGAGGAAACAGCGGCTATGGAGACTTACATAGCCGAGTCCTTGGCACAGGGATACATACGGTCCTCCACTTCCCCGGTCTCCTCGAATTTCTTCTTTGTGAAGAAGAAGGACGGGGGATTGCGCCCGTGTATTGATTACCGTAGTCTCAATCAGATCACAGTTAAATACAGTTACCCACTTCCACTGATTGCGACGATGACGGAATCATTACGCGGAGCGCGGTTCTTCACAAAGTTGGATCTCAGGAGCGCGTACAATCTGGTGCGCATTAGGGAGGGGGATGAATGGAAAACAGCATTTAGCACCACCTCGGGTCATTACGAGTATCTCGTCATGCCATACGGGTTAATGAATGCTCCTTCAGTCTTCCAATCCTTTGTTGACGAGATTTTCCGGGACATGCATGGGCAGGGTGTAGTAGTTTACATCGACGACATCCTAGTGTATTCTTCTACACGAGCCGAGCATGTAGCCCAGGTGCGCCGAGTGTTGAGAAGACTGTTGGAGCATGACTTGTATGTCAAGGCAGAGAAATGCCTGTTCTTCCAGGAGTCCGTCTCCTTTTTGGGTTATCGGTTGTCCGCGTCTGGTGTGGAGATAGAGGTAGACCGGGTATCGGCCGTGCGTAATTGGCAAACTCCAACCACTGTAAAAGAGGTGCAGCAGTTCTTGGGTTTTGCTAATTACTACCGAAGGTTTATTCGGGGTTTTGGACAGGTTGCAGCTCCCATTACGTCCCTGCTAAAGGGGGGTCCGGTTCGTTTGCAGTGGTCGGCTGAGGCGGACAGGGCATTTGTCAAACTAAAGAACCTGTTCACCTCGGCTCCTGTGCTGGCGCATCCGGATCCCTCTTTACCATTCCAAGTAGAGGTAGACGCGTCCGAGACCGGTATTGGGGCAGTTCTGTCACAACGGTCCGGCACGCCACCTAAACTCCGCCCCTGTGCGTTCTACTCCAAGAAGCTCAGCTCGGCGGAGCGCAACTATGATGTTGGGGACAGGGAGCTGTTAGCCGTAGTCCAGGCCCTAAAGGTGTGGAGGCATTGGCTTGAGGGGGCAAAACACCCTTTCCTCATTCTGACTGATCACCGTAACCTGGAGTACATCCGGGCAGCTAGGAGATTGAACCCTCGTCAGGCTAGGTGGAACATGTTCCTAACCCGGTTTGTTTTTAAGATCACATACATCCCTGGGTCCCAGAATGGTAAGGCAGACGCCCTGTCCCGGCGGTATGACACAGAGGAGAGGTCCAACGAGCCTACTTCCATATTGCCGGAGTCTTGTTTGGTGGCTCCGGTGGTATGGGAGGTCGATGCGGAAATCGAGCGGGCACTGCGTACCGACCCTACTCCCCCCGAGTGTCCTGTGGGGCGGACGTACGTTCCGCTCGAGATTCGTGATCGACTTATTTATTGGGCTCATACATCACCCTCCTCTGGACATCCAGGTATTGGCCGGACCGTGCACTGTCTTAGCATGAAATACTGGTGGCCAACGTTAGCTAGGGATGTGAGGGTTTATGTCTCCTCCTGCTCGGTGTGTGCCCAGTGTAAGGCGCCTAGACATTTGCCCAGGGGTAAGCTACATCCCCTGCCCGTTCCACAACGACCATGGTCCCACCTATCGGTGGATTTCGTAACCGACCTACCCCCCTCCCAGGGGAATACCACCATTTTGGTCGTTGTGGATCGGTTTTCCAAGGCCTGTCGTCTCCTTCCCATGCCGGGTCTCCCTACTGCCCTACAAACCGCTGAGGCCCTATTTACCCATGTGTTCCGGCACTATGGGGTCCCCGAGGATATAGTGTCTGACCGAGGTCCCCAGTTCACCTCCAGAGTTTGGGGGGCGTTCATGGAACGGTTGGGGGTCTCGGTAAGCCTTACCTCGGGGTATCACCCAGAGAGCAATGGGCAGGTGGAACGTGTCAACCAGGATGTGGGTAGGTTTTTGAGGTCCTATTGCCGGGACCGGCCGGAGGAGTGGTCTAGGTTCATCCCCTGGGCAGAGATGGCCCAGAACTCTCTCCGCCACTCCTCCACCAATTTAACACCTTTCCAGTGTGTTTTAGGTTATCAGCCGGTCCTGGCACCATGGCACGAGAGCCAGATCGAGGCCCCTGCGGTGGACGAGTGGATTCGGCGCTCGGAGGAGACGTGGGACGCTGCCCATGTCCATCTGCAGCGTGCCATCCGTCAACAAAAGGCGAGCGCCGATCGCCACCGCAGTGAGGAACCGGTGTACGCACCGGGAGATCGAGTCTGGCTCTCGACTCGAAACCTGCCCCTCCGCCTGCCCTGCCGGAAGCTGGGTCGGCGGTTTGTGGGGCCCTTCAAAGTCCTGAGAAGATTGAACGAGGTGTGTTACAGGTTACAACTGCCTATAGAGTATAAAAATATTAACCCCTCGTTCCATGTGTCTCTTCTCAGGCCGGTGGTAGCTGGCCCACTCCAAGAAGATGAGATAGGAGAGACCCCTCCGCCCCCTTTGGACATCGAGGGGGCCCCGGCGTACAGGGTCCGGACCATCTTGGACTCGAGGCGCCGGATGAGTGGTCTCCAGTATCTCGTGGAGTGGGAGGGGTACGGTCCGGAGGAACGGTGCTGGGTGCCCAGGAGGGACATACTCGATCCATCCCTCCTGACTGAGTTTCACCGTGGGCATCCCACGCGCCCGGGTCCGCGTCCTCCTGGCCGTCCCCGAGGCCGGGGTCGGCGCACGGCTGGAGCCGCGCGTCAAGGGGGGGGGGTACTGTCACGGTTTCGGCCGAGACTGCTCCTCCTCCTAGTTCGGGCAGGCTTCGGCGTTCGCCGTCCCCGGAGTACTAGCTGCCACCGCTCTATGTTTCGTCATTTGATTGCTTTTGTCTGTCTGTTACACCTGTGTCCATTTGTGTGTTGATTACGTGTCTTATAAGTTCCTTGTTTTGCACTAGAATGATTGTGTGTTGTTATGACTGCCACTGTGTCGGAGCTACGTGTTTGCACCCTGTTTGTTTTGTGTTTAGTGTTTACGCGTGTGCGTAATTTTCCTTCGCCTCTTGGTGTATTTTGAGGTCGGGGTTTTTTTCCTCGTAAACATTGGACTATTAAAGTCTGTTGGACTTCACCTCTGTGTCCTGCGCCTGACTCCTCCACCACATCCACATCGGTTCTAGTGACACTGACCACGACTCCATTTTGCTCCTCCCTTCCTATAGGCAGTAACTCAAACAGGAAGTACCCGTGCTAAGGACTATTCAATGCTGGTCTGACCAGTCGGAATCCACGCTTCAAGATTGTTTTGATCACGCGGACTGGGATATGTTCCGGGTATCTTGCGAAAATAATTTTGACTAATACACTGAAACGGTGACTGAGTTTATCAGGATGTGTATAGGAGATGTTGTGCCCACTGTGACTATTAAAACCTACCCTAACCAGAAACCGTGGATAGATGGCAAAACTGAAAGAGCGAACCACCGCATTTAACCATGGCAAGGTGACTGGGAATATGGCAGAATACAAACAGTGTAGCTACTCACTCCGCAAGGCAATTAAACTGGCAAAACATCAATATAGAGACAAAGTGGAGTCGCAATTCAACGGCTCAGACCTGAGACATATGTGGCAGGGTCTACAGACAATCACGGACTACAAATGGAAAACCAGCCACGTCGCCGACACCGACGTCTCGCTTCCAGACAAGCTAAACACCTTCTTCGCCCGCTTTGAGGATAACACAGTGCCATTGACGCGGCCCACTACCAAGGACTGTGGGCTCTCCTTCTCCGTGGCTGACGTGAGTAAGACATTTAAGCATGTTAACCCCCGCAGGGCTGCCCTAGCATCCCTAGCCGCGTCCTCAGAGCATGCGCAGACCAGCTGGCTGGTGTGTTTACGGACATATTCAATCTCTCCCTATCCCAGTCTGCTGCCCCACATGCTTCAAGATGGCCACCATTGTTCCTGTACCCAAGAAAGCAAAGGTAACTGAACTAAATGACTATCGCCCGTAGCACTCACCTCTGTCATCATGAAGTGCTTTGAGAGACTAGTCAAGAATCATATCACCTCTACCTTACCTGTCACCCTAGACCCACTTCAATTTGCTTACAACCCCAATAGATCCACAGACGATGCAATCGCCATTACACTACACACTGCCCTATCCCATCTGGACAAGAGGAATACCTATGTAAGAATTCTGTTCATTGACTATAGCTCAGCATTCAACACCATAGTACCCTCCAAGTTCATCATTAAGCTTGAGGCCCTGGGTCTGAACCCCGCCCTGTGCAACTGGGTCCTGGACTTCCTGACGGGCCGCCCCCAGGTGGTGAAGGTAGGAAACAACATCTCCACTTCGCTGATCCTCAACACTGGGGCCCCACAAGGGTGCGTGCTCAGCCCCCGCCTGTACTCCCTGTTCACCCATGACTGAATGGCCAAGCACGCCTCCAACTCAATCATAAAGTTTGCAGACAACACAACAGTAGTAGGCTTGATTACCAACAATGACGAGACAGCCTACAGCGAGGAGGTGAGGGCTCTGGGAGTGTGGTGCCAGGAAAATAACCTCTTACTCAACGTCAACAAAACAAAGGAGATGATCATAGACTTCAGGAAACAGCAGAGGGTGCACCCCCCTATCCACGTCGACGGGACCGCAGTGGAGAAGGTGGAAAGCTTCAAGTTCCTTGGCTTACACATCACTGACAAACTTAAATGGTCCACCCACGCAGACAGTGTGGTGAAGAAGGCGCAACAGAGCCTCTTCAACCTCAGAAGGCTGAAGAAATTTGTCTTGGCACCTAAAATCCTCACAAACCTTTACAGATGCACAATTGAGAGCATCCTGTCGGGCTGTATCATCGCCTGGTACGGCAACTGCACCGCCCGCAACCGCAGGGCTCTCCAGAGGGTGGTGCGGTCTGCCGAACGCATTACCGGGGGCAAACTAACCGCCCTCCAGGACACCTACAGCACCCAATGTCACAGGAAGGCCAAAAAGATCATCAAGGACATCAACCACCCGAGCCACTGCCTGTTCACCCCGCTATCATCCAGAAGGCGAGGTCAGTACAGGTGCATCAAAGCTGGGACCGAGAGAATGAAAAACATATTCTATCTCAAGGCCATCAGACTGTTAAATAGCCCTCACTAGCACATTAGAGGCTGCTGCTGCCTATTGAAATCACTGGCCACTTTAAGAAATTAACACTAATCACTTTGATAATGTTTACATATCTTGCATTACTCATCTCATATGTATATACTGCATTCTATAATATTCTACTGTATCTTAGTCCATGCCGCTGTCACGCCCTGGCTCTGGGACTCTGTTATGTTGAGCCAGGGTGTGTAGTTTCTATGTGTTTGTGTTCTAGGTTCTTTATCTAGCTCATGTGTTTCTGTGTTGGCCGGGGTGGTTCTCAATCAGAGGCAACGAGTGTCAGCTGTTGCTTGTTGTCTCTGATTGGGAACCATACTTAGGCAGCCTGTTTTCCACAGTGTTTTGTGGTATCTTGTTCCGTGTTGGTTTTGTGTTGTAAACCAAGGACGTCACGTATCGTTTTGTTGTTTTTTTCGTGTGGGTGAATATAAATAAAAGTATGTTCGCATATCACGCTGCGCCTTGGTCCACTGTGTTTGACGAGCGTGACAGCCGCTCTGTCATTGCTTGTCCATATATGTATATATTCTTAAATTCCATTCCTTACTTAGATTTGTGTGCATTGGGTATATGTTGTGAAATTGTTAGATATTACTTCTTAAATATTACTGCACTGTCGGAGCTAGAAGCACAAGCATTTCGCTACACCCGAAATAACATCTGCTAAACACGTGTACAGTGGGGAGAACAAGTATTTGATACACTGCCGATTTTGCAGGTTTCCTACTTACAAAGCATGTAGAGGTCTGTAATTTGTATCATAGGTACACTTCAAATGTGAGAGACGGAATCTAAAACAAAAATCCAGAAAATCACATTGTATGATTTTTAAGTAATTAATTTGCATTTTATTGCATGACATAAGTATTTGATCACCTACCAACCAGTAAGAATTCTGGCTCTCACAGACCTGTTAGTTTTTCTTTAAGAAGCCCTCCTGTTCTCCACTCATTACCTGTATTAACTGCACCTGTTTGAACTTGTTACCTGTATAAAAGACACCTGTCCACACACTCAATCAAACAGACTCCAACCTCTCCACAATGGCCAAGACCAGAGAGCTGTGTAAGGACATCAGGGATACAATTGTAGACCTGCACAAGGCTGGGATGGGCTACAGGACAATAGGCAAGTAGCTTGGTGAGAAGGCAACAACTGTTGGCGCAATTATTAGAAAATGGAAGAAGTTCAAGATGACGGTCAATCACCCTCGGTCTGGGGCGCCATGCAAGATCTCACCTCGTGGGGCATCAATGATCATGAGGAAGCTGAGGGATCAGCCCAGAACTACACGGCAGGACCTGGTCAATGACCTGAAGAGAGCTGGGACCACAGTCTCAAAGAAAACCATTAGTAACACACTACGCCAGGGTTCTTCAATTCCGGTCCTGGAGGGCCGAAACACCTCTGTTTTTCATCCTCTCCTTCTAATCAGGGGCTAATTCAGACCGGGGACACCAGGTGAGTGCAATTAACTACCAGGTAGAAATAAAAAACAGAAGTGTTTCGGCCCTCCAGGACCAGAATTGAAGAACCCTGCACTACGCCGTCATGGATTAAAATCCTGCAGCGCACGCAAGGTCCCCCTGCTCAAGCCAGTGCATGTCCAGGCCCGTCTGAAGTTTGCCAATGACCATCTGGATGATCCAGAGGAGGAATGGGAGAAGGTCATGTGGTCTGATGAGACAAAAATATAGCTTTTTGGTCTAAACTCCACTCGCCGTGTTTGGAGGAAGAAGAAGGATGAGTACAACCCCAAGAACACCATCCCAACCGTGAAGCATGGAGGTGGGAACATCATTCTTTGGGGATGCTTTTCTGCAAAGGGGACAGGACGACTGCACCGTATTGAGGGGAGGATGGATGGGGCCATGTATCGCGAGATCTTGGCCAACAACCTCCTTCCCTCAGGAAGAGCATTGAAGATGGGTCGTGGCTGGGCTTTCCAGCATGACAACGACCCGAAACACACAGCCAGGGCAACTAAGGAGTGGCTCCGTAAGAAGCATCTCAAGGTCCTGGAGTGGCCTAGCCAGTCTCCAGACCTGAACCCAATAGAAAAACTTTGGAGGGAGCTGAAAGTCCGTATTGCCCAGCGACAGCCCCGAAACCTGAAGGATCTGGAGAAGGTCTGTATGGAGGAGTGGGCCAAAATCCCTGCTGCAGTGTGTGCAAACCTGGTCAAGACCTACAGGAAACATATGATCTCTGTAATTGCAAACAAAGGTTTCTGTACCAAATATTAAGTTCTGCTTTTCTGATGTATCAAATACTTATGTCATGCAATAAAATGCAAATTAATTACTTAAAAATCATACAATGTGATTTTCTGGATTTTTGTTTTAGATTCCGTCTCTCACAGTTGAAGTGTACCTATGATAAAAATTACAGACCTCTACATGCTTTGTAAGTAGGAAAACCTGCAAAATCGGCAGTGTATCAAATACTTGTTCTCCCCACTGTATGTGACAAATAAAATTTGATTTGATTTGAAATGGTGACGGATGATAATGGTTATTTGAGTAGCTTACTTCGTCTTGGTGTGGCTCGCCTCGCTCGCCAACCTGAGTGCTGTAAAGAAGTCACATTGCACCACAACTCTCAATAGTAATTTCACCTATGTCTCCGTCTGTGCTTCTTTGGACAGGATATTCACTGTGGTAATGCGGATGATAGCAGCAGGGTTGATTGCAGACGATCCAACGTTACAGCCAATCAGAAGACTTATGTCCTTTGTATGAACTTTAACATGTATTTTCTCTAATTTTTTGATGCCATTGTTCTTGAGCCAAGCACCTCCACTGTGCAAAAGCACAGTACCTCATGTAATCTCAAATGCAATACTTCCTTGCATGATGTGTGGTGGGAGTATTCTTATTGGCTGATAATGTGTAGATCTTGAATCAGATCTTTAATCAGCTCATCATAATAAATGCCATGATCATTAATACTTTCAACTCCTTTGCCAATATACTAATCCAGAAACTCACTATTACTACCTCCATCTTCCATTAATTTTAGAAGGCCAAATATGCCACAAGCCACAAATCCACATGCATGTTGTCCTCCCCGGTGAACTCACTGTTCTCACTTCATGAACAATCTTAAGTGTAACCAAAGTATTGCTATTGATCTCAGTAGTAGTATTGGCATGGCTAGGACATTTGTTGGCAGGGTGTAACCTGAGTTCTTAATTTCTCTCATTGCACCTCTCCAGGATTAGCATCTTCTCCGGAGACATGAGGCGACCAGAGGAGGTGCCAGATATGTGGAAGAGAGGCAATTATTTACACACGAAGCAGGCTCAGGAGGCACTGAAGCATCCATTAGCTGGGACCTATAATGTCCCATGCTGGTGGTCTCCAAATAAAGGAATGGGTCCGTGCACCAACAATTGTCATGGGAGTCCGTGCACCAACAATTGTCATGGGAATGTCCAACAGCCAGTTACCACCAGAGGGTGCAGGGGAGCGCCAGAGGGTGAATTATTGGAGTACTGGTTGAATACAGTACCAAAAATATGTGCTCAGGCTGTCATTTGACTCATATTCAGGGCATAGTTTGCCAGGAGAGCTTGGTGTTTTGAGGCCTAAAGTGGGTAAGATGAACCTATGAAGAATGTCATGAAGAGCATCATGCCAAGTGGGATTGTCAGGACAAAGTTGTCCTGAGGGGACAATGAGAGATTAATTCTGGAGAGAAGAACGTGCTATCTGGGAGAGAATAATGTGCTATCTGAGAGATATCCTGTGCCTTTTCAATAAATGTTTTGTTGTACAGATATGGTGCTTTATACTAGCAGTAAGTAGACTGTATTAAAAGCTGGTATCTTGTGACTCCCGAGTGGCGCAGTGGTCTAGGGCACAGCATCGCAGTGTCACTAGAGATCCTGGTTCGAATCCAGGCTCTGTCGTAGCCGGCCGCGACTGGGAGACCCATGGGGCGGCGCACAATTGGCCCAGCGTCGTCCAGGGTAGGGGAGGGAATGTCCGGCAGGGATGTAGCTCAGTTGGTAGAGCATGGCGTTTGCAACGCCAGGGTTGTGGGTTCGATTCCCAATGAATGCACTCACTAACTATAAGTCGCTCTGGATAAGAGCGTCTGCTAAAATGACTAAGAATGTGACTATGATATGAAGCTATTTTTTCCAATAGATATGGTTTTCAACCCGTTCTCAGTGTTTGCTCAATTGTCGACACTTAAACATATAAAATTGCACAGTTTTAATGCCCTTCAGTTCTAGCATATTTGTTTGCTTTGTTATTTCTGATGGTTTTATCGCTGCATTTTCAGGGACCCCTGCAAGCTTTCTGATGCCCACAAGGCCCCCTGGTTGACGGAATGTCAATCTAACTTCAAACATTGAAGTTCAAAGTAGAAAGTAGAAAGTAGAAAATACCGGGGAAACATCACGTGCTGTTTAACCGATTATGCGCATGGCTTCACGGTCACCAGGGAAACGTTGCTCTCTTGTTACAAGCGGCGGAACATTGAACATTTTGAAAGAGGAGGGTCCATTCAGTTAATAACTTGAAGTGGCTACTGTAGCTCGCATGGAACTACATTTATTACTGTTCATACGTTTCTTCTATGTTAAATGTCATAACGGTTGATTTGAGAAATCGGTCCCAACGGTTGAGAAAACAAACTCGTGTTTCTTTCAACTCAATTCGGTGTGTTTTTGGAACACGAGAAATGGAAGAGTTGAACGAGTCCCAGTCCTCACCCGCTTCTGCGTTCGAGAAGGACGCATTTGAGCTGACAGTGGAAGATGTTTATGACATTTCATACGTCATTGGCAGAGATTTGCTGAAAATAAGTAATACAGGTGAGGAAGTCTCAGATTTGCAATTCAAAATTGTGCGTGTTTTGGAGATGTTTGAAACGTTAGTGAATAAGTACAACCTATCGCTGGAGGAGTTGAAAATGGAACGAGACAACTTGAAAAGTGAACTGGATAGAATCGTGAGAGAAAGTTCTGCGGGGCAGGAAAAGGTGAGTTAGATTTTTTTTAGACCAGGAATCTTTAACAGTTGTGGACAGAATCGATACATTTAGTTTTCCATTATGTGGTCATCTCTAACTGGACTAGGTTCTGTCAGGGTATGTAAAGGTTGTTTTATGTTTCACTGGGTTGCTATACACTCTACTTTCCAACATACAGTTGTGTGGACTCCTTTTTTTAATGAGTTTATGCCTTTAATCAATATCTTCTCTCAGCAAACACTAGGACCAAACAAACTGGTGGTAGACATGAAAGATCCCAACAGACCACGCTTCACAATGCAGGAGTTGAAGGAGGTGCTTCAGGAGAGGAACCAGCTCAAAGCCCAGCTACTGGTGGCCCAAGAAGAGTTGCAGCTCTTCAATAGGTAGAATACAGAGCCAGACCTGACCAGTCCCCCAACCAACATGTACACATATTTAAAGGGAAAATGTGTCTTAAGAAGTGCCTGAACCTCTGACTTAGTGTTGGACAGTCTGTCAAAGTGTGCACCTCACTCAGGGAGAGTGAGGTAGAGCTACGTCACAAAGGTACGCGCCCCTCATTGCAGCGCTAGATATAACTTTGTGGAGTACAGCAAATCTACGGGAAAAAAATTAACGTTATGTTACAGCGAACATACTAAAGCCCAATCAATTGTGAGATAGGACATATACATTTTGTGTGATAGATTTGGGTCATAGGTTCAGAATGTTACATTTTCTGAGATTTCTGCTAAGCAAGCAGGAAACAGCAGCCTGTGGGCTTGCTGCGTGTGCAACACACACACGAGGGAACTCCTCATAAACAACACTGTCACTGACCGTTTTCAAAATATCACCCAACAAAACAAGCCTTTTACTATAGGCATAATTGTCAGAAGCCATTTCTTTAATTCAATGCCTTTCTCTGCAGCCTAAACCAAGCAGAAAATGCCGGAGTCCCGTGCGTGACAACACACAACTTTAGTGCTCAAGAAATGTATACTGAAGCAAACATTTCACCCACCAGCCATAACAGAACCGCCAGAACCCTTCACCTGCTTTCAATTTACTTTGTATGTCTGTCTAGAACAGGGATGGGCAACTAGCGGCTTTTGTAGGCCCGCGGATCAATTTAACAAGACAACATTTTTTACTCAGTCAGGGTCTCAACTTACTGTTGAGAGTTAGAATAGTAGAATACACAAGTTGCAATTTCGAAATTTGGTTGTGCATCAGCAGTTTTCCTGTTATGTCAATCACTGACCATCACTCAATTAGGCCATGTCAGCGAACATTTTTTAGATTGATAAATTAGTCTGGCGGCCAGCTATCTAAACTTGTTAAATAATGGTCGAATTACCGAACGGGGGGCCCCCATTGATTTTGTTAGTCACTCTCACTCAGATCATATTAAAAACTGCAAACCTTTTTCTCCACCCTATGGCAAAATCAACAAGCTCTCACAGTCTCACTGCAGACATAGACTTTTATCCACGTTTCTCTAAATGTCACATTTTGAAGTGTTTTTGACACCCATGGTTGCTGCTGCTGCTTTGCATCGTTCCACTTCTCCAAACATCAAATTTCGAAGCTGCTGCTCTGTATCGTTCCATTTCTCCAAAGGTCAACTTTCAAAGTTACGTTTTGCTGGCAAGGTGGAGGGGAGGCCACCAAACAAAATTTCACTTAAGGCCCCTAAAAGGCTAGGGCCGGTTCTGACTGCATGTGTGGGTATGGATGTGGGTACTCAGACCTGTGAGCCACTGCGGCCCCCCATGATGAGTTCAGATTTTTTGTGGCCCCCACCACCGTCAAAGTTGCCCATCCCTGGTCTAGAAACTGGGCTAGATTAGCTACCCCATAATAGGCTATGTGAGTGAACGTTTATGAAGACAAGCGGATGGATGGATTCGGATGGATGGTTGACATGACAAAGGTATGCAGATATATTCTTATCTAAAAAGGTGGGTGAAATGTTTGCTTCAGTATACATTTCTCGAGTGATAAAGTTGTGTTGTGTCGCACAGGACTTGCGCATTTTCTGCTTGGTTTAGGCTACAGAGAAAGGCATTAAAGAAAGAAATGGCTTCTGACAATAGGTCAACATTAAAAGGCTTGTTGGGTGATGTGGTAAAGTCTGATGTATTTTGAAAACTGCCGGTGACAATGTTGTTTTACGAGTTCCCTCGTTCGTGTGTTGTTGCATGCGCAATAAACCCACGGGCTGCTGTTCCCTCTTGCTTGGCAGAGATCTCAGAAAAGGTACAATTGTGAACCCGTGAATGTTTGTGGTATCTTAATTGATTAGGCTTCCCGAATTTACACTGAACAAAAATATAAACGCAACAATTTCAAAGATTTTACTTAGTTACAGTTCATATAAGGAAATCAGTCAATTGAAATAAATAAATTAGGCCCTAATCTATGGATTTCACATGACTGGGAATACAGATATGCATCTGTTGGTAGATACCTTAAAAAAAAAAAAAAGAGGGGCGTGGACATGGGGCCATGCATCATCATGCTGAAACATGAGGCGGCGGATGAATGGCATAACCAATGGGCCTCAGGATCTCGTCACGGTATCTCTGTGCATTCAAATTGCCATCGATAAAATGCAATTGTGTTTGTTGTCCGTAGCTTATGCCTGCCAATACATAACCCCACCGCCATCATGGGGCACTCTGTTCACAACGTAGACATCAGCAAACCACTCGCCCACACAACGCCATACACGCTGTCTGCCATCTGCCCGATACAGTTGAAACCGGGATTCATTCGTGAAGAGCACACTTCTCAAGCATGCCAGTGGCATCGAAGGTGAGCATTTGCCCACTGAAGTGGGTTACGACGGTGAACTGCAGTCAGGTTAAGACCCTGGTGAGGACGGTGAACTGCAGTCAGGTTAAGACCCTGGTGAGGACGACGAGCACGCAGATGAGCATCCCTGAGATGGTTTGACAGTTTATATTGGCAAAGGAGAAATGCTCACTAACAGGGATATAAAAATAAGCTTTTTGTGCGTATGGAACATTTCTGGGACCTTTTATTTCAGCTCAAACATGGAACCAACACTTTACAAGTTGCATTTATATTTTTGTTCAGTGTATGTTTGCTGACGGAATGTGATTTCTGTCAGTAGATTTGCTGTATTCCTCAGTTATATTTTGCGCTGCAGCGAGGGGGAGGGGCACTTTGAGAAAGTCCAACACTAATTCAGAGAAGTTTAGGCAGTTAGACATATGCCAAAATTTGCCGTTGTTCCCCTTTAATGTAGTGCTCTGTACTTGCAGTGGGATGCTGCCACAGGGCAAGCAAGCCATGGTAGAGGTTGACCTGGAATCACCATCCTCTTCGGAACCTGTTCCTGACACAACAGATGAGACTAAAGAAGAGGAACCAAGAGAGGAAAAGACCACCATCAGAAAGCTGTAAGCAATGAGCTTTTTTCACAAATCAACTTTGCATAACCATTTAACATCCATAGTAAACTGTGTGAAAAGCATGCAGTTTGAAGAGGTTGATTTACACTCTGAAAACACATTGAAGTATTTCAGAGACATTCATCATGGTATCACAGGGTGGACAACCAGGGGTAGTTTGTTCTCACAGTCCGTCTCTGCCTTATAATGACCGGCTTGTGACTGGCTGGCTGTTTGCGCTGATGCTGTGTGATTGGGAGAATGTGAATGAAGAGAGAAAGCAGATGTAACTGTTGCTGGCCACTCCACGAGGCCAGCTTTGCTGCTGTGGTCAGTATTGTTATGGTCTGCCTGATGTGACACAGTCAAGCCTCAGCAGACACTGCAAATTCACACACTCCTCCCCCTTCACCTCCTTTGTAAAGACCAGTAACTTCTAGGGACCTAAATTGTGTTGGCAAAAACAAATTGCAGAGCAAGCTTTCTCAAATGCATTCTGAACTAATTATTATTTCTTTATTTGTAGGTTTTCATTCAGGCGGAAATAAGGACAACCTGTGTGAGGACCTAAAGCATTAATAATAACGACAAACCAAACATTTTTATGCACATACTTTTTTCTATGCTTTCTTTGTATTAGGATATATTTTTTTTTGGTAATGAATGGCATTTTTAAACTCTGGAATAATTAAGCCTTTTAAAAGTATCTCGGCATTGTCTTTTTATAGATTTGTCTCAAATGTCATTCATAGTTACAGGAAAATTCCTATTTCTGCACTTTTTAGGTAGAATAACATGGTAGATGCACACCGAACTAATGTTTCCTTGAACTTTGTACAAAAATGAGCTGTAACAGAGGATTCCTTTTTGGTTGAACATTGTGCCAAATTGTGATGAAACTCTGGATGAACAGATTGAACCTTGCAAAGACCAACGTTCAAGACAGGGGTTACAACAGTAGCCCCAGTAGAGACAGGACCTCCAAGACTACATGAGCACCCTACTGCCATTGGAATGTTATAGCCATTAGGATGTACAGTTGAAGTCAGAAGTTTACATACACCTTAGCCAAATACATTTAAACTCAGTTTTTCACAATTCCTGACATTTAATCCTAGTAAAAATTCCCTGTCTTAGGTCAGTTAGGATCACCACTTTATTTTAAGAATGTGAAATGTCAGAATAATAGTAAAGAAAATGATTTATTTCAGCTTTTATTTCTTTCATCACATTCCCAGTGGGTCAGAAGTTTACATACACTCAATTAGTATTTGGTAGCATTGCCTTTAAATTGTTTAATTTGGGTCAAACGTTTCGGGTAGCCTTCCACAAGCTTCCCACAATAAGTTGGGTGAATTTTGGCCCATTCCTTCTGACAGAGCTGGTGTAACTGAGTCAGGTTTGTAGGCCTCCTTGCTCGCACATGCTTTTTCAGTTCTGCCCACACATTTTCTATAGGATTGAGGTCAGGGCTTTGTGATGGTCACTCCAATACCTTGACTTTGTTGTCCTTAAGCCATTTTGCCACAACTCTGGAAGTATGCTTGGGGTCATTGTCCATTTGGAAGACCCATTTGCGACCAAGCTTTAACTTCCTGACTGATGTCTTGAGATGTTGCTTCAATATATCCACATCATTTTCCTTCCTCATGATGCCATCTATTTTTTGAAGTGCAACAGTCCCTCCTGCAGCAAAGCACCCCCACAGCATGATGCTACCACACCCGTGCTTCACGGTTGGGATGGTGTTCTTCAGCTTGCGATGGGGGTGCTTTGCTGCAGGAGGGACTGTTGCACTTCAAAAAATAGATGGTCATTATGGCCAAACAGTTCTATTTTTGTTTCATCCGACCAGAGGACATTTCTCCAAAAAGTACGATCTTTGTCCCCATGTGCAGTTGCAAACCGTAGTCTGGCTTTTTTATGGTGGTTTTGGAGCAGTGGCTTCTTCCTTGCTGAGCGGCCTTTCAGGTTATGTCGATATAGGACTCGTTTTACTGTGGATATAGATACTTTTGTTCCTGTTTTCACAAGGTCCTTTGCTGTTGTTCTGGGATTGATTTGCACTTTTCGCACCAAAGTACGTTCATCACTAGGAGACAGAACGCGTCTCCTTCCTGAACGGTATGACAGATGCTTGGTCCCATGGTGTTTATACTTGCGTACTATTGTTTGTACAGATGAACGTGGTACCTTCAGGCGTTTGGAAATTGCTCCCAATGATGCACCAGACTTGTGGAGGTCTACAATTCTTTTTCTGAGGTCTTAGCTGATTTCTTTTGATTTTCCCATGATGTCAAGCAAAGAGGCACTGAGTTTGAAGGCAGGCCTTGAAACACATCCACAGGTACACCTCCAATTGACTCAAATGATGTCAATTAGCATATCAGAAGCTTCTAAAGCCATGACATCATTTTCTGGAATTTTCCAAGCTTTTTAAAGGCACAGTCAACTTAGTGTATGTAAACTTCTGACCCACTGGAATTGTGATACAGTGAATTATAAGTGAAATAATCTGTCTGTAAACAATTGTTGGAAAAATTACTTGTCATGCACAAAGTAGATGTCCTAACCGACTTGCCAAAACTATAGTTTGTTAACAAGAAATGTGTGGAGTGGTTGAAAAACGAGTTTTAATGACTCCAACCTAAGTGTATGTAAACTTCCGACTTCAACTGTACACAACACATTAACACCTGCTCTTACTATGAGACTGACTAAGTGAAAGCTATGATCCTTTATAGATGTCACTTGTTAAATCCACTTAAAATCAGTGTAGCTGAAGGGGAGGAGACAGGTTAAAGGAATTTAAAGCCTTGAGACAATTGAGACATGGATTGTGTATGTGTGCCATTCAGAGAGTGAATGGGCAAGACAAGATTTAAGTGCCGGTGAACGGGGTATGGTATTAGGTGCCAAACTCACCGGTTTGTGTCAAAGAACTGCAACGCTGCTGGGTTTTTCACGCTCAACAGTTTCCTGTGTACAGTACCAGTCAAAGGTTTGGACACACCTGCTCATTCAAGGGTGTCTTTATTTTTACTATTTTCTACATTGTAGAATAATAGTGAAGAAATCAAAACGAGGAAATAACACATGGCATCATGTAGTAACCAAAAAAAGTGTTAAACTAATTGAAATATGTTATTCTTCAATGTAGCCACCCTTTGCCTTGATGACAGCTTTGCACACTCTTGGCATTCTCTCAACCAGCTTTATGAGTAATGCTTTTCCAACAGTCTTGAAGGAGGTCCAACATATGCTGAGCACTTGTTGCCTGCGTTTCCTTCACTCTGCGGTCCAACTCATCCCAAACCATCTCAATTGGGTTGAGTTCGGGTGATTGTGGAGGCCAGGTCATCTGATGCAGCAGTCTATCACTCTTGGTCAAATAGCCATTACACAGCCTGGAGGTGTTTTTTGGGTCATCGTCCTGTTGAAAAACAAATTATAGTCCCACCAAGCGCAAACCAGATGGGATGGCGTATCGCTGCAGAATGCTGTGGTAGCCATGCTGGTTAAGTGTGCCTTGAATTCTAAATAAATCACAGACAGTGTCACCAGCAAAGCACCATCACACCTCCTCCTCCATGCTTCACGGTGGGAACCACACATGCAGAGATAATCCGTTCACATACACGCGTCTCACAAAGACACGGCGGTTGGAACCAAAAATCTCATATTTGGACTCATCAGACCAAAGGACAGATTTCCACCAGTCTAATGTCCATTGCTCGTGTTTCTTGGCCCAAGCAAGTCTCTTCTTATTGGTGTCTTTTAGTAGTGGTTTCTTTGCAGCAATTCGACCACAAAGGCCTGATTCACGCAGTCTCCTCTGAACAGTTGATGTTGAGATGTGTCTGGTACTTGAACTCTGAAGCATTTATTTGGGCTGCAATTTCTGAGGCTTGTAACTCTAATGAACTTATCCTCTGCAGCAGAGGTAACTCTGGGTCTTCCATTCCTGTGGCGGTCCTCATGAGAGCCAGTATCATCATAGCGCTTCATGGTTTTTGCGACTGCACTTGAAGAAACTTTCAAAGTTCTTAATTTTCCGTATTGACTGACCTTCATGTCTTAAAGTAATGATGGACTGTCGTTTCTCTACACAGGTATAAGAGCCTATATAAAGTGTTACCAAAATGGTCTATCCTGTACATTTTTATGCAAGTTCATGACATTTTCTTCAAATGGCTTTTGAACTGTACTATTTGACCTCTCAAATAATAGAGCAGCTGTAAAGAAAGCCATTTAAAAATATTACTGTTATACAATCACTCAAACTATATTTAATATGTTGCACGTTGTGAAATACTCATACAAGGAGGCTGGACTGTTCATTGTCTTTGTGAATATTAATAATTGGTACATTTGTCAAAGACCAAGCTTGCCTTTCTATGCTTTGCAAAATGAGCTTCCATGCTAGCCAGATTTCTGAACAGATTTGTCTATGTACACATTTCATTTACTCTCAAAAAGAGCAACTTGCATTGTAAATTGTGTTCAAAATTCATTAGGATATTTCACCCATTGCAACAAAAAAAGCTACATTTAAAAATCAAATATAAGCTGTTCTCCCTGAAGCCAGGAGAGCATTGACGCTCATATGAAAATTGTTGCGTCAACTAGAACCATAACTAGCATTATAAATTAATCACTTATATAAAAGCAACCTAAAAACAATCGCTAGTATGTCACAAAATATTTCACACATTTTCATGGACACACTGGCCTAAATATGTATAAAAACGACCTCCAAATCCAGCAATAAATTGATAGTTTTAAAAACAAATTAACCCATTTGCCATCTTGAAGGTTGTCCTCCACCTTATTCATACAGCCACCGTTTTGCCCAAATGCATTGCTTGAAAAAGCACAAGACAGATAAAAAACCATCAGGCACACTTAATTTGTCTCATCGGAAAGCAGTTGCACCTTAGGGCCAATGGAATGGATAAAAAAAAAAAAAAAAAGATCTGAATCTCTTTTTGAAGAAATCAAATGCACCTAGTCATTCTCTTGAGAAAATACTCTGGTGGCACATCAGTATTTGAGCCAAGGGTGAGCAGAGATTGATTCCTTGCTGCGGTCACCATAGTCATAAAGCAGCTCTTCCTCTGCCTCAATGTCCCTGGAAGCCACCAGTATGAGATGAGGTATTCCATCCATGTCATGGAGCTTGGTCTGGCAGTTGCCGTTTTTACTGTGGTTTATCAGCCTTCCCAGGTGAGTTGATTATTTTGTAGCATCCACACTGTAGAGGACATGAAAGATTTGAAAACGTCCATGAGCTAGCTGACAACATTGTGGCAATACATACACTGAGTATACAAAACATGAACACCTGTTCTTTCCATGACAAAAAGACCAGGTGAAAGCCATGACCCCTTGATGTCACTTGTTAAATCCACTTCAAATCAGTGTAGATGAAGGGGAGGAGACAGGTTGAAGAAGGATTTTTAAGCCTTGAGACATGGATTGTGTACGAGTGCCATTCGGAGGGTGAATGGGCAAGACCAAAGATGTAAGTACCTTTGAACGGGGTATGGTAGGCACACCGGTTTTGTGTGTGTGGGAGTGCAACTCAATATTAGGAAGGTGTTTCTAATGTTTGGTATACTCCGTGTATGTCTGGGTTACTTAATACAACTGAAAATTAAAGTTTGTGTAGATGACTTACCAGTAGGTTTTGCTGAGATAGTGAAAATAGTACATGTAGCAGCCGGTCCCGGGGTCTTGGGCATACAGAGCCTCTCTCTTCTTGGCATCAGCCAGATGCAACAAGTCTCCATGATACTCAATTACAAACGGACCCTTCTTGAAACATCTGACGGCAAACACTCCTCTTCCCTTCCCCTCTATATTTTTTACCTATTGGGGTTTAAGTAGGTAAAATCAAATTCCAGGTTCAGATGATCAGGGTCAGTAAAATGTGACTTTATTTAGTTTCAAAACTAACCTGCAGTCCTTCTTCAACTCCATGTTTTATCAGGTCATCAAGGTGTCTGTGTTATTCGTTCTGTTGGCAGAGTGTTGTGTTTAATGAGTAAATATAGTGACTCAAGTAAATATTAAGGCTGTCAAACAATTCAGATAATTAAATACATGATTCTGTAGTTAAAAGGCCATTTTTGAATTTTCTCAAATTAGACCCTAAAAGTTTTGTCCATTTAAAAAGCAGTGCATTGTTGCAGGCATACTATGCTTTGATTGTAAGGGAAGGATCAATGTTCTTGAAGTTTAACATTTGCGTGCAAGCAAACACACAAGTACTCCAAGCTTCAGGCATTCTAAATGATGTTCTCCCAATTTCGGAGGGTTTACTATAGGAAAAAATAACCTTTAAACCTGTCCAACAATTATGAATTCCACAGAAGACAATAACTGATCAGGCAGGTCTGAGTTTATGTAATACAGCTATTAGATGTAGCCTACTTATTCATGACCATGTTTTTCAACATGAACTAATCACAAGCTGCTACTTCTAGAATTGTAAAAAGCTTCAAGTTCCTCTGCAAACATCACTGACAATCTGAAATGGTCCACCCACACAGACAGGGTGGTGAAGAAGGTGCAACAGTGCCTCTTCAACCTCAGGAGGCTGAAGAAATTCAGCTTGGCCCATAAGACCCACAAACTTTTACAGATGCATAATTGAGAGCATCCTGTCGGGCTGTATCACCGCCTGGTACGGCAGCTACACCGTCTGCAACCGCAGGGTGGTGCGGTCTGCCCAACGCATCACCAGGGGCACACTGCCTGCCCTCCAGATCACCTACAGCACCCGGTGTCACAGGAAGGCCAAGAAGATCAAGGACCTCAGCCACTCGAGCCACAGCCTGTTCACCACGCTACCATCCAGAAGGCGAGGTCCGTACACGTGCATCAAACCTGGGACCGGGAGACTGAAAAACAGCTTCTATCTCAAGGCCATCAGACTCAAATAATCACCACTAGCCGGCCCCCGCCCTGAACTGGTCACTAGACGGCTACCACCCGGTTACTCTACCATGCACCGTAGAGGCTGCTGCCCTATGTACATAGTCATGGAACACTGGTCACGTTAAATAATGTTTACATATTGTTTAACCCACTTCATATGTAGAGTTGAAGTCGGATGTTTACATACACTTAGGTTGGAGTCATTTAAAACTTGTTTTTCAACCACTCCACCAATTTCTTGTTAAACTATAGTTTTGGCGACATTTACTTTGTGCATGACACAAGTAATTTTTCCAACAATTGTTTACAGACAGATTATTTCACTTATAATTCACTGTATCACATTCCAGTGGGTCAGAAGTTTACATACACTAAGTTGACTGTGACTTCAAACAGCTTGGAAAATGCCAGAAAATGATGTCATGGATTTAGAAGCATCTGATAGGCTAATTGACATCATTTGAGTCAATTGGAGGTGTACCTGTGGATGTATTTCAAGGCCTACCTTCAAACTCAGTGCCTCTTTGCTTGACATCATGGGAAAATCAAAAGAAATCAGCCAAGACCTCAGAAAATAAATTGTAGACCTCCACAAGTCTGGTTCATCCTTGGGAGCAATTTCCAAACGCCTGAAGGTACCACGTTCATCTGTACAAACACCATGGGACCACGCAGCCGTCATACCGCTCAGGAAGGAGACGCGTTCTGTATCCTAGAGATGAATGTACTTTGGTGCGAAAAGTGCAAATCAATCCCAGAACAACAGCAAAGGACCTTGTAAAGATGCTGGAGGAAACAGGTACAAAAGTATTTATATCCACAGTAAAACGAGTCCTATATCGACATAACCTGAAAGGCCGCTCAGCAAGGAAGAAGCCACTGCTCCAAAACCGCCATAAAAAAGCCAGACTACGGTTTGCAACTGCACATGGGGACAAAGATCGTACTTTTTGGAGAAATGTCCTCTGGTCGGATGAAACAAAAATAGAACTGTTTGGCCATAATGACCATCGTTATGTTTGGAGGAAAAAGGGGGTCGCTTGCAAGCTGAAGAACACCATCCCAACCGTGAAGCACGGGTGTGGCAGCATCATGCTGTGGGGGTGCATTGCTGCAGGAGGGACTGGTGCACTTCACAAAATAGATGGCATCATGAGGAAGGAAAATTATGTGGATATATTGAAGCAACATCTCAAGACATCAGTCAGGAAGTTCAAGCTTGGTTGCAAATGGGTCTTCCAAATGGACAATGACCCCAAGCATACTTCCAAAATTGTGGCAAAATGGCTTAAGGACAACTAAGTCAAGGTATTGGAGTGGCCATCACAAAGCCCTGACCTCAATCCTATAGAACATTCGTGGGCAGAACTGAAAAAGCGTGTGCGAGCAAGGAGGCCTACAAACCTGACTCAGTTACACCAGCTCTGTCAGGAGGAATGGGCCAAAATTCACCCAACTTATTGTGGGAAGCTTGTGGAAGGCTACCCGAAACGTTTGACCCAAATTTAAACAATTTAAAGGCAATGCTACCAAATACTAATTGAGTGTATGTAAACTTCTGACCCACTGGGAATGTGATGAAATAAATAAAAGCTTAAATAAATCACCCTACTATTATTCTGACATTTCACATTCTTAAAATAAAGTGGTGATCCTAACTGACCTAAGACAGGGAATTTTTACTAGGATTAAATGTCAGGAATTGTGAAACTGAGTTTAAATGTATTTGGCCAAGGTGTATGTAAACTTCCAACTTCAACTGTATATACTGTATTCTAGTCAAGGCCTATCCTATAACTATTGCTGTACATATACTATTCTTCAGATATACTACATATTCTATCCATATATTGTCTATTCATTGCCATCACACACACGACCAAAAGTGTGTGGACACCTGCTCGTCGAACATCTCATTCCAAAATCATGGGCATTAATATGGAGTTAATCCCCCCTTCGCTGCTATAACAGCCTCCACTCTTCTGGGAAGGTTTCAACTAGATGTTGGAACATTACTGCGGGGACTTGATTCCATTCAGCCACGAGCATTAGTAAGGTCGGGCACTGATGTTGGGCGATTAGGCCTGGCTCGCAGTCGGCGTTCCAATTCATCCCAAAGGTGTTCGATGGGGTTGAGGTCAGGGCTCTGTGCACGCCAGTCAAGTTCTTCCACACAGATCGACAAAACATTTCTGTATGGACCTCGCTTTGTGCACGGGGGCATTGTCATGCTGAAATAGGAAAGGGCCTTCCCCAAACTGTTGCCACAAAGTTGGAAGCACAGAATCTTCTAGAATGTCATTGTATGCTGTAGCGTTAAGATTTCCCCTTCACTGCAACTAAGGGGCCTAGCCCAAACCATGAAAAACAGCCCCAGACCATTATTCCTCCTCCACCAAACTTTACAGCTGGCACTATGCATTGGGGCAGGTAGCGTTCTCCTGGCATCCGCCAAACCCAGATTTGTCCGTTGGACTGCCAGATGGTGAAGCGCGATTCATCACTCCAGAGAATGTGTTTCCACTGCTCCAGAGTTCAATGGCGGCGAGCTTTACACCACTCCAGCCGACACTTAACATTGCGCATGGTGATCTTAGGGTTGTGTGTGGTTGCTCGGCCATGGAAACCCACTTCATGAAGCTCCAGACGAGCAGTTCTTGTGCGGATGTTGCTTCCAGAGGCAGTTTGGAAACCAGTAGTGAGTGCTGCAACCGAGGACAGACGATTTTTACGCGCTTCAGCACTCGGCGGTCCTGCTCTGTGAGCTTGTGTGGCCTATCACTATGCGGCTGAGCCGTTGTTGCTCCTAGACGTTTCCACTTCACAATAACAGCACTTACAATTGACCGGGGCAGCACTAGCAGGGCAGAAATTTGACGAACTGACTTGTTGGAAAGGCGGCATCCTATGACGGTGCCACGTTGAAAGTCACTGAGCTCTTCAGTAAGGACATTCTACTGCCAATGTTTGTCTATGGAGATTGCATGGCTCAATTTTATACACCTGTCAGCAAAGGGTGTGGCTGAAATAGCCAAATCCACTAATTTGAAGGGGTGTCCACATACTTTTGTATATAGTGTAGCATCAAAGGGGGGGACCAATTCAAATCAAATCAAATAGTATTTGTCACATACACGTGTTTAGCAGATGTTATTGCGGGTGTAGCGAAATGCTTGTGATAATGTAAAAAATAACATTAAAAAACAAAAATACCGTTTCCTAAGAGCTAGTCGCGAGGCCGCGATCTTCGTCGGCGCCAGGATCATCATTTTCGAAATTCCATATTTAATGCCCATAATTTTGGAATGAGATTCGATGAGCAGGTGTCCACATACTTTTGGTCATGTAATGTATATACATACATACAGTGAGGGGAAAAAGTATTTGATCCCCTGCTGATTTTGTACGTTTGCCCACTGACAAAGACATGATCAGTCTATAATTTTAATGGTAGGTTTATTTGAACAGTGAGAGACAGAATAACAACAAAATCCAGAAAAACGCATGTCAAAAATGTTATAAATTGATTTAAATTTAAATGAGGGAAATAAGTATTTGACCCCTCTGCAAAACATGACTTAGTACTTGGTGGCAAAACCCTTGTTGGCAATTACAGAGGTCAGACGTTTATTGTAGTTGGCCACCAGGTTTGCACACATCTCAGGAGGGATTTTGTTCCACTCTTTTCAGATCTTCTCCAAGTCATTAAGGTTTCGAGGCTGACGTTTGGCAACTCGAACCTTCAGCTCCCTCCACAGATTTCCTATGGGATTAAGGTCTGGAGACTGGCTAGGCCACTCCAGGACCTTAATGTGATTTTTCTTGAGCCACTCCTTTGTTGCCTTGGCCGTGTGTTTTGGGTCATTGTCATGCTGGAATACCCATCTACGACCCATTTTCAATGTCCTGGCTTAGGGAAGGAGGTTCTCACCCAAGATTTGACGGTACATGGCCCTCGTCCATCGTCCCTTTGATGCGGTGAAGTTGTCCTGTCCCCTTAGCAGAAAAACACCCCCAAAGCATAATGTTTCCACCTCCATGTTTGACGGTGGGGATGGTGTTCTTGGGGTCATAGGCAGCATTCCTCCTCCTCCAAACACGGCAAGTTGAGTTGATGCCAAAGAGCTCAATTTTGGTCTCATCTGACCACAACACTTTCACCCAGTTCTCCTCTGAATCATTCAGATGTTCATTGGCAAACTTCAGACGGGCCTGTATATGTGCTTTCTTGAGCAGGGGGACCTTGCGGGCGCTGCAGGATTTCAGTCCTTCACGGCGTAGTGTGTTACCAATTGTTTTCTTGGTGACTATGGTCCCAGCTGCCTTGAAATCATTGACAAGATCTTCCCGTGTAGTTCTGGGCTGATTCCTCACCGTTCTCATGATCATTGCAACTCCACGAGGTGAGATCTTACATGGAGCCCCAGGCCGAGGTACCAACTGTTGTCACCTTCTCACCAAGCTGCTTGGCGATGGTCTTGTAGCCCATTCCAACCTTGTGTAGGTCTACAATCTTGTCCCTGACATCCATGGAGAGCTCTTTGGTCTTGGCCATGGTGGAGAGTTTGGAATCTGATTGATTGATTGCTTCTGTGGACAGGTGCCTTTTATACAGGTAACAAGCTGAGATTAGGAGTACTCCCTTTAAGAGTGTGCTCCTAATCTCAGCTCGTTACCTGTATAAAAGACACCTGGGAGCCAGAAATCTTTCTGATTGAGAGGGGGTCAAATACTTATTTCCCTCATTAAAATGCAAATCAATTTATAACATATTTGACATGCATTTTTCTGGATTTTTTTGTTGTAATTCTGTCTGTCACTGTTCAAATAAACCTACCATTAAAATTATAGACTGATCATTTCTTTGTCAGTGGGCAAACGTACAAAATCAACAGGGGATCAAATACCTTTTTCCCCCTCACTGTATACATTTATACTCCGGACTCCGACATTGCTCTTTCTAATATTTCTGTATTTTCATTTCATGCTTTTACTTTTTAGATGTGTGTTTTGTTAGATATTACTGCACTGTTGGAGCTAGGAACACAAAACAAGCATTTCGCTACACCCGCAATAACATCTGCTAAATATGTGTATGCGACCAATACAATTTTATTTGACATCTGGTGGGTTTTTAAGGTCTTACTCAGACGACAACCAATATTATATGGTTTCGAAAATGAGAAGGTAGAGAAGTCCAAGTAATAGATTTGAGCAGTTCATTTAACATTGTCATTATTGGTGGTGGTTGGGGAAAATAAATGGTGGGTTACCTTTCCCTTGCTTTGATTTCTCTGTTTGTTGAGTCAATTTCTCAGGCACATTTTCCTCCTGGCTGAGAGAACTTGAGTTGTTGCACAGAGGAGATCTGGGTTTGCTGGGATTCCAAAAACGTTGTAAAGTGGCCTGACCATTACCTGCATCCTGCAACACATGAATGTTTTGATAATGGTGAATGGATGCAACATGCACTGGTGTAATTTAGCTAGTTAACACCTGAGAAGTATTGATGACCAATACTAGCCTGTATTAGTGCTATATTTCGAAAACAAAATAATAAGTTACCCCATTCATTTCTGGTTTATTTTCCTTTGTCTCCTTTTCGAATTGTTTGGGCTTAAGGGTTCCCTCGGGTCCGTTGTAGGTGGTCAGCACTTGTTTCTTCCCTTTGAAGGCAAACATGTCAGGTCATTAGCTAGGTTGACCTTGATATAGCCTACCATATCCATAGCATATCCAACGTTTATTATTGCTAGCTAGTTGATAGCTAGTCCCAAAAAATTGGGACAAAAATAAACAATACAATATACAAGTCAGGCAAGAGCAGAGCACATAATTACAAAAACCACCCGTACAGAAAAATATTAATAAAATGAGGACAGATCGCATTTCATCATCCATCAAAGATTGCATTGTACAGTACTACAGTACAAATACTTTGTTACTAGCTATGTAATTTGAGGGAATTTTGTAAAACTACGAATGCATACCTACATGATTGAAGGCTTAATCTGGGCGTCATTGAAAATTTACATTTATGAATATAGAATTTACTCAATAGTATTATGACATTTACAATGAAAAGTAGCTTATCAATTTTATCAAAATAAAAACGAATTGAACGTCTCTCTCTCCAGCTAACTTTAGTCAAATTAGGGACGCAGCTACTGTACCGAGTAAAGTTAACGTCGTTGTTAACTAGCTACAGTAACGTTAGATAGCTAGCTAGCTAAAGTTAACTACCTCAAAACATCCTTGTTTCGACTTCACATGTTTCGCTACTTACCTTTTGCCATTTCAACTCTCCCACAACTAGACAGAATGTGCAAAAGTTTGCGTTATAAGTTTCGCAATGTTCGCGTGTGCTTCGTTACGTTACGTTACGTTACGTTACATTTTGCTAGCTAGCGAACAAACGCATAGCTAGACGCCGACTAACCAAGCCGCCGCCGCCGCCGCCACCACCACCACCACCACCACCACCACCACCACCACCACCACAACCACACACACTGTGTACACAAAATAACAACAAACAGGGACTTCCTGTTATTTAGAAAGCTAGCTACTTCGTCCCTGATTGGTTAAACACTACTCTAGTAGCATGTGATTGGCAGGGCGCGAAACACACTTTAGAAGCCAAAATGTATGCGGAGGATGGAACGTGTCTAGTTTCTTTGAGTTGTCTGCCCTTGACTTGATACATTTTTAAAAAACGAATTCGTGCATTGTAAATCTATTCAAAATATCAGTAAGCGAGTAGGCTACATCATGTTTACATTCGGTTTTCCCAATATGGGTCAATTGACATATATTTTCATCTGATAATGATGAATGTTACCTTCAAATATGATTTGTTCTCACCTTCTGTTTCTGTTTCTATTTTAGGACTCTTGCTTTCCCAGTTACAGATCTCCCCACCACTACACAGCCTCAAGCAAAGTAGTTCAATGCTTGTTATTAATCACATTTTATAAACTGGGTGGTTCGAGCCCTGAATTAACACCATATACCAGGGATATGACAAAACATTCATTTTTACTGTTCTAAATACGTTTATAACCAGTTTATAATAGCAATAAGGCACCTTGGGGGTTTGGGGTATATGGCCAATCCCTCGTGCCTTATTGCTTAAGTATGTCATGATTATGTAGCGTAAATAACGTAAGAGTAGGACTACGCCTAGGCTATATTTTTCATTATTAAACATTATACTGTAGCAACAATATGTGTAGGATGATAATTATTTAATTGTAGTAATGTCCTTATTACATTGCATAGCAATATTTTTTGAGTTACGTTATCCTTATTACTAGCACAGACTACAGTAGCTGTTTGGTCAGTCATCTAAAGCATTCTATTTTTAATTCAGTCATCCGAGTTTGACATTAACTTCTTAAATATTTTGTCTTAAAACTATAAACTAATACACTATAACAATAGGCTTAAAGAAAAATAATTTAAGAAAACGTGTATTTTTCCAAATAATTTTGTAAAAGTTATCGTAAGAAAGTGTTTTTTGGGGTCAAAAAAGCAATTATTTGCTATTGTGAGGATATATTGCATTGTGGGTGTCAATATAAAGTGACGGCCATATTTGCCGGTGCTGCTCTGCTGTAAACAAAAAGTGTCTGAGGGAGACAGAGGCGCTTCATTGGATTTTAGGACGATTTTTATTTCTTTCAGTTATAATGTCTCTAGGAATGTCTTACAAGCCCAACCTCCATCAGCATGTTCTCGGAACTTCCGTGAACCAAGGTGAGGAGGACATTTCTGTTAATATTTAGTCTAGACTCTGTTTTATCGGGTGTAAAATTCGATGTTGTAATGAATACCTGGGGGAAGCCCGTGACTGTAGTTTTTGTCCAGTTATATGTATAGGGTCAGATCCTGAGAGCTGATTCATATCCGCCATTATTACTAATCATAAAACCGTTTCCCTCTCGTGCATCCGTAAAGTTTATAATTCGGTTGTTCACTCGTCTACCTAAACAGAACACGCGTACTCTATTGTCGGATTTTCACGTTGGCTTCTTAATTCTACGCGTACGGCTTCCTCCATGATTGTTTCCCCAAGGCTAATGATTGATCTGGATGTGGACAGTTCTTTGACCCTTTGATGACACCCAGTGTTCGCTGAGCCTCATTGCACCCCCCCCCCCCCCCCCCCCCCCCCTATACAGCATACTATAGGCTGCATTAGTCTCCTTGAATGTCAAGATAAAATGGACAAAAGTAATGCAACATACTCATTGAAACAACACCTTAAATACATATTTCATAAAACTAGGCTAACGTTTCAGCCACTTATACCTGGTCAATTTCAAATGATTAATTCCAAATCAATTTCATAATGCATGCATGCATTGCATGTGGCATATAGTAAACTGTATATCTTTTTCTTTTTTCACTCCTTCAACAGTTGCTGTTGTTCACTCTACATCAACAAGCATATCAACACTGCAATCTTACAGGCCATTAGTGAATGACTATGGACCACCATCTTTCGGCTTTTCACAGGTATAGACTGAAATTGTAAAACATGTTTTGGATGATGACAATGCATTATCTAATGTGATAGCTAGATTATACCACACATTTTAAATGTTGCCATTGTCGTGTGTGAAAATCCCAGGAGGCCGGCCGTTTCTGAGATACTGGAACCGGTGTACCTGGCACCGACGATCAAACTACACTCAAAGTCTCTTAGGTCACTCGTTTTGCCCATTCGAACGTTCAATCGAACAGTAACTGGATGCCTGTCTGCCTGCTTTATATAGCAAGCCATGAACACGTGACTCACTGTCTGTAGGAGCGAACCATTTTTGTGAACGGGGTGTACCTAATAAACTGGCCACTTAGTGTATGTTAGTGACTATCGTAACTGACATAAGTCACACTGTTTCATTTGCAAACCATTCTTTATTTCATTGTATCACAGAGTTCAAGTGGAAGTCAAGTGCCTCAGAGTAAATATGCAGAACTGCTAGCCATTATTGAAGAGCTTGGGAAGGAGATTAGACCAACTTATGCTGGGAGCAAAAGTGCCATGGAGAGACTAAAGCGAGGTATGTGCTTGCCTTGCTTATTCATGCACTGTAATGCTAGCACCTTACAGTCCATTCACAAACCTATCTGCCGTGCGGTGGAAATGCCCCGACGCTCTGTCAAAACGTTAATCTTCGCTTGCAATATGGTTCAATCTTTGCTTGCAATAAGTTTTTTGACATTTGAAAACTCAACTTAATTATCATCCAAAAATAACTTAAAGTTGGAATCCGTAGCGGTGAAACTGCAATGTCCGTTTGCAATATTACAACAACAAAGACGTTACTTCAAACAACAAACATTGTTTTATTCCCTCTGACATCATTGCACATCATTGCACGCATGGTAGAACAGTAGAGTATGTACTATGATATATATTTGTTTCACAATGCAGAATGCTCCTCTGCCCCGTTTAAAAAACAAAACAAATGCGCCTGGGGGCGACCAGTGGCGCTGTTTCAACAAATGCAGATCTCAGCTTTAAACGCCACACCAGTAGAAATCAACTTTTTTTAGCTGAAAGACGATGGCCAGAGCTTATGATTTGCACAACTATTTAAGTCAATAAGTCATTGTTTTAGTCAAAGTATGATATATTTTGTCTTGAAGTAGGACCGGGACGGTATCAGTATTGCAATACTCTTTAGTGTCGTGGCAAGGAAACAAAACACGAAGCGGATTAAACTTCTTTAGGAAAAATGTTGGAAACAAACATCATTATGTTGTCATCCAGAGTCACATTTATTTATTTTCCAAGATATAGCACACAATATATTACATACAGCAGGTTTTTAAAAGATCAAATAGTTTGGTCTGCTTCATGTTTTAATTTTTGCCATAGAAAAAATATTGCAATACTGGTATCATCACAGCCCTAGTTTGAAGTGACAAATCCGAACTGCCCACTTTGTGCAAATCTGTGTGACTGCGGTGTCTTTTCCTATGATATGACATACAAATTATTTAGACTGAGATGAGCCAAACAGTGTCCACTTGGCCGCCTGAGCCATCGAGCAAATTAAAATAGGGAAGAATTATAAAAATGCATTGGATAATTTGTCAATTTTCACTCAATTTTTAGCTAGTCTGTATAGAAAAAATAAAAAGTATTCAATCCCCTTGACTTTTCCCACATTTTGTTACGTTACAGCCTTATTCAAAAATGTATTACATAGTTTTTTCCCCTCATCAATCTACACACAATACCTCATAATGTCAAAGCAAAAGCAGGTTTTTAGAAATTCTTCCTAATTTATTAAAAATAAAAAACTGAAAATTATACATTTACATAAGTATTCAGACCCTTTACTCAGTACTTTGTTGAATCACCGTTGGCAGCGATTACAGCATCAAGACTTCTTGGGTATGACTCTACAAGCTTGGCACACCTGTATTTGGGGAGTTTCTCCCATTCTTCTCTGCAGATCCTCTCAAGCTCTGTCAGGTTGGAGGGGGAGCGTTGCTGCACAGCTATTTTCAGGTCTCTCCAGAAATGTTCAATCCGGTTCAAGTCTGGGCTCTGGCTGGGCTTTCAAGGACATTCAGAGACTTGTCCCGAAGTCACTACTGCGTTGTCTTGGCTGTGTGCTTAGGGTCGTTGTCCTGTTGGAAGGTGAACCTTCGCCACAGTCTGAGGTCCTGTGCGCTCTGGTGCAGGTTTTCATCAAGGATCTCTCTGTACTTTGCTGCGTTCATCTTAGCCTCGATCCTGACTAGTCTCACAGTCCCTGCCGCTGAAAAACATCCCCACATCATGATGCTGCCACCACCATGCTTCACCGTAGGGATGGTGCCAGGTTTCCTCCATATGTGACGCTTGGCATTCAGGACAAAGAGTTCAATCTGGGTTTCATCAGACCAGAGAATCTTGTTTCTCATGGTCTGAGAGTCTTTAGGTGCCTTTTTGGCAAACTCTAAGCAGGCTGTCATGTGCCTTTTACTGAGGAGTGGCTTCCGTCTGGCCACTCTACCATAAAGCTTGATTGGTGGAGTGCCAGTATGAAAAAATAAATAAAATAAAATAAATTAATGTATGCACTCACTAACTGTAAGTCGCTCTGGATAAGAGCGTCTGCTAAATGACTAAAATGTAAAGGTTGTCCTTCTTGAAGGTTTTCCCATCTCCACAGAGGAACTCTGTCAGAGTGACCATCGGGTTCTTGGTCACCTCCCTGGCCAAGGCCCTTCTCCACCGATTGCTCAGTTTGGCCGGGCGGCCAGCTCTAGGAAGAGTCTTGGTGGTTCCAAACTTCTTCGATTTAAGAATGATGGCCACTGTGTTCTTGTGGACCTTCAATGCAGCATCAATTTTTTGGTACCCTTCCCTAGATCTGTGCCTTGACACAATCCTGACTCTGAGCTCTACGGACAATTCCTTCGACCTCATGGCTTGGTTTTTGCTCTGACATGCACTGTCAACTGTGGGACCTTATATAGACAGGATGCACCTGAGCTCAATTTCGAGTCTCATAGCAAAGGGTCTGAATACTTATGTACATTTCTGTTTTTCAATTTCTAAACCTGTTTTCGCTTTGTCATTATGGGGTATTGTGTGTAGATTGCTGAGGAAAATGTTTTATTTAATACATTTTAGTATAAGGCTGTAACGTAACAAAAGTGGAAAAGGTCAAGGGGTCTGAATACTTTCCGAAGGCACTGTGTGTATATATGCAGTGAGGGAAAAAAGTATTTGATCCCCTGCTGATTTTGTACGTTTGCCCACTGACAAAGAAATGATCAGTCTATTATTTTAATGGTAGGTTTATTTGAACAGTGAGAGACAGAATAAAAACAACAAAATCCAGAAAAACGCATGTCAAAAATGTTATAAATTGATTTGCATTTTAATATAAGTATTTGACCCCCTTTCAATCAAAAAGATTTCTGGCTCCCAGGTGTCTTTTATACAGGTAACGAGCTGAGATTAGGAGCACACTCTTAAAGGGAGTGCTCCTAATCTCAGCGTGTTACCTGTATAAAAGACACCTGTCCACAGAAGCAATCAATCAATCAGATTCCAAACTCTCCACCATGGCCAAGACCAAAGAGCTCTCCAAGGATGTCAGGGACAAGATTGTAGACCTACACAAGGCTGGAATGGGCTACAAGACCATCGCCAAGGAGCTTGGTGAGAAGGTGACAACAGTTGGTGCGATTATTCGCAAATGGAAGAAACACAAAAGAACTGTCAATCTCCCTCGGCCTGGGGCTCCATGCATGATCATGAGCAAAGTCATTGAGGCCTATCATTTCACTTCCCCTTTGAGAACCATGAGCACGGGCTCTCTTGGCTTTGCTGTACCTCAGCTGAAGCCTGCCAGCAGCCTACCTACCAAAGTTTGCACCATTACAATGTAGAAAAATGCATATCAGCTATCTTTCAATTGTTATCCAAATTACCGGAGCTTCATCTTCTAACTATTTATATGGCGGATTCGCAGCCGCAATTTATGGAAGATGCCAAAACTTTGGAGATAACAATAGATGGTGAAGTCAAAGATAGGCCAGTGGTTTCCATCTGTGGAGAAGTTTTGCCCAAATCAATGCTAATGACAAATCCAGCTCCTTAAAGGTAACCGGTAAAGGTACACTTAGTGTTAGCTCTTTTACCACAGATTCCCACTGAGTTTTTTGGTGTAACACAACTTCAATACTTTTTTTGGTCCCTCCTGAGTTTTCATTAGCTTATGAAGTGTCACACAAAATGTGCAACATAAAAATGCAACACAAAACACCTGTGGGAATATGTTTTAAAAGGAGCACAATAAGTGTTTTTTTTTTTTCTCTCTGTGAAAGTTCCAAAGGTTTCCATAACCATATCGCAAGCAGGGATTATTAACATTTCTAAACGTTAAAACAGAGTGTCAGGAATGTAATACATATTGGCCCAGCTGTGGTCCATATGTTCGACTGAGAACCCTAGGGAGAGCTGTATGCCCCCTTGGGTTCTCGAGAGCTAACGCTTACCTTGTGGAACCTTACTATGCACCGTTGGGTTCAGTAAAGTTATAATTTGACATTTCATGGACTCAAGCAGTTAATTGTGTGTTTTTTACCTTTTCTATTGTTTTTCATTTGAAGGTATCATTCATGCCAGGGGGCTTGTACGTGAATGCTTGGCAGAAACAGAGAGAAATGCAAGGTCCTAACAGGCAAAGTACAGGCAAAGTTATTGGATTGAATTGGACCAACTCTCCAGACTGAAGATCTACAAGACTCAAAAGACGAAGCTTTTAGTCAATACTTTTATTGGACCAATAAAAACTAAAAGTTCATTGTTTTTTAAAACTGCGATGGCACGTTCGGCTTTGACAAAAAAAGTGCCCTATGAGCTGTACTTGACAGGAATTTCCTGGTTTTATTTGTGTTCCCTTTGGAAATGCCTAATTTCAATATTACTTGAATGAATAAAAAATAATGAAAACAAACAAAAATGCATGTTATGTAGCAATGCCCCTATCATTTAATGAAACTTGCATGGCTTTTATAGTGTAAGAGTGTATAAAGGGCATTTTGACAATGGATGAGTTCTACCAGCTCTACCAGCTCAGAGCACGGCGCTTGTAACGCCAAGGTAGTGGGTTCGATCCCCGGGACCACCCATACACAAAAAAATGTATGCACGCATGACTGTAAGTCGCTTTGGATAAAAGCGTCTGCTAAATGGCATATTATTATTATTATATATTATAATATACTTAGTAGCTACTATAGCTACTAACAATATTACTATAGTAAATATTAAATATACTATAATAGTTACAGTATCTTTTTGCTATATTAACTATAGCATATTTTAAACATATTTAAGCATGAGTGACAGCAAAAGGGATAGGTGCTTTTAGCAACGAGGGTGTATTTACATACACTAGCGTTGCTTTCAATTGTATTGGGTTGCACAAAAACAGTCCGTGGGAAGCCAGAAGTTATCCATTTCAACTTACTGTGCCGGTGGGCAGGACTGTTGGTAATTATGGCAGGGGTATTTTGAGACAAAATATGTAATGGATCTTATTATTAAATAGACTTTCCAAACGTGGGTCTGTTGTAGACCCACTTCTTCTCTGCTTACCTCATTTCAAAATAAAAGTCCTGCACGTGCGCCATATGTGGACAAAAAATGAATAACTTGTGGGGGACTTTTTTTTAACATGAGGTAAGCAGAGAGGAAGTGGGTCTACAACAGACCCACGTTTGGAAAGTCTGTTTAATAATACGATTCTTTAGATATTTTGTTTAAAATTCCCCTCGCCATAATGACCAATAGTCCTGCCCACCGGCACAGTAAGTCTGGCTTCCCACGGACTGTTTTTGTGCAACCCAATACAATTGAAAGCAACACTAGTGTATGTACAAAAGGGATAGTGCCAAACACACTGTTAAACACACCACATTATGGATGAACTATTCTACTAAAGTCATTGTTTGCATCTTTGTATTTATTGGCCAGTGTAATACAACTTATTTCCATTAAAATGATTGAAAATACTGACATCATTCCTCTCTTAGACAGATTGATAAGAATATAATTGATTTCAATAGGTGCTCTTTATTTACAATACAGATCACGATGAGGTAGGACACATTTGTTGGATCAGTCTGAATTGTATGTTCATGCATCCTTTTCATCCCTTGGTTTGGAATCTGCCAACAGTGCCTCTTTGAACAGTTTCTTCTCCAAATTCTCTTTTGCCCTTTTCCTCTTGTCTTGTTTCCTTTGTATTGACTCCTTCTTATTCTTCATAATGTCGCGCTCTTCTCCCTTGTAGGTGACCTCACGATTCTCCCTCATTGTCTCCCGAGCTCTTTTCAGGTTTGTGTCCACAGATCTGGTTTGATGGCACTAAAATAGGAGAGAGGTATGAGAAATAGAAAATTGACAGATTATAGTACCTCCTAAATGGGAAACTTAACCCTTATGGGGGACATAAAATAACCCCATACATCAGATGCCCATGGCTCAGGAAGGATACTGCTAAGTTTCTCCTTGTTTTCCATGTGTAATATTGTAAGATTGGTTGTGTTATAGTCATCATGAACTAATACTGTATTTGCGGTAAACTTTGGAAGTATTGGAATTAGGCCAAAACAGTAGGCCTATATCTAAGCAGACCACCATAGTCCCTTTGCCCAAGAACACTAAGGTAACCTGCCTAAATGACTACCGACCCGTAGCACTCACGTCTGTAGCCACGAAGGGCTTTGAAAGGCTGGTCATGGCTCACATCAACACCATTATCCCAGAAACCCTAGACCCACTCCAATGTGCATACCACCCCAACAGATCCACAGATGATGCCATCTCTTTTGCACTCCACACTGCCCTTTCCCACCTGGACAAAAGGAACACCTACATGAGAATGCTATTCATTGACTATAGCTCAGCGTTCAACACCGTGGTAAGGGTAGGTGACAACACATCTGCCACGCTGATCCTCAACACAGGGGCCCCTCAGGGGTGCGTGCTCAGTCCCCTCCTGTGCTCCCTGTTCACCCATGACTGCATGGCCAAGCACAACTCCAACACCATCATTAAGTTTGCTGACGACACAACAGTGGTAGGCCTGATCACCGACAACGATGAGACAGCCTATAGGGAGGAGGTCAGAGACCTGGCTGTGTGGTGCCAGGAAAACAACCTCTCCCTCAACGTGATCAAGACAAAGGAGATGATTGTGGACTACAGGAAAAGGAGGACCGAGCACGCCCCCATTCTCATCGACGGGGCTGTAGTGGAGCAGGTTGAGAGCTTCAAGTTCCTTGGTGTCCACATCACCAACAAACTATCATGGTCCAAACACACCAAGACAGTCTTGAAGACGGCACGACAAAGCCTATTCCCCCTCAGGAGACTGAAAAGATTTGGCATGGGTCCTCAGATCCTCAAAAATGTATACAGCTGCACCATTGAGAGCATCCTGACTGGTTGCATCACCGTCTGGTATGGCAACTGCTCGGTCTCCGACCGCAAGGCACTACAGAGGGTAGTACGTACGGCCCAGTACATAACTGTGGCCAAGCTTCCTGCCGTCAGGACCTCTATACCAGGCGGTCTCAGAGGAAGGCCCTAGAAATTGCCAAAGACTCTAGCCACCCTAGTCATAGACTGTTCTCTCTGCTACCGCAAGGCAAGTGGTACCGGAGCGCCAAGTCTAGGTCCAAAAGGCTTCTTAACAGCTTCTACCCCCAAGTGATAAGACTCCTGAACAGCTAATCAAGTGGCTACCCGAACTATTTGCATTGTCCCCCCCACCCCCTCTTTTTATGCTGCTGCTACTCTCTGTTTATTATCTATGCATAGTCACTTTACCTCTACCTACACTACCAGTCAAAAGTTTGGACACACCTACTCATTCAAGGGTTTTTCTTTATTTTTACTATTTTCTACATTGTAGAATAATAGTCAAGACATCAAAACTATGAAATAACACATATGGAATCATGTAGTAACCAAAAAGGTGTTAAACAAATCAAAATATGTTTTATATTTGAGATTCTTCAAATAACCACCCTTTGCCTTGATGACGGCTTTGCACACTCTTGGCATTCTCTCAACCAGCTGGTAATTTGTTGGTTGTATGGCTACTTCGGGAATATGAACTCATCATGGCCAGAAAAGGTGCAATGATTATATGTATTATGTTTACAAATGAAATATTGTCTAGGCTACTCGAGATTTGACATTACAGTATTCGTAGCCTACAAACGTCAATGGAAAAAGTGAGTGTTCTACCGTTAAACTGCGCTTCAGATCGGATCGCATAGAGCAAAATACCCGTATCTATTTACTATTATACAATGGGTGGGTCTGGACTATATCTTGTGGAAGGATGAAATAGTATGAATAAATTCATCAAAATAACGTTTTTAATGAATATATGTCAGTCATTATTTGAATATGTTGGTAACCCTTTGTATAAAAGTTATAATGCCCTCAAAGCTGGTGTTTGGAGGAACGGTTTGGCCAATATATCCTCCAAACATCGGCTTCTCGGCCATTATCATTTAATTATACAACGGGTGGGTCTAATTCTGAATGCTGATTGGTTAAAACCGCATTTTAGCAAGTGTCTATTCCACAAATGATCACTGGCTAAATCTATGACATTAAAATGCCTATTTACTCTGTTCCATCTGACTGGGCAATCAACTGTCTCATCAGTCCAGCCAGGCAATTTATAAACTTGATCTCCACTATAAAAAGCATCTAGACATCTCGACTGGCTGAGAAACGCTGCCTGTCTGTCTCTTCCCGACACATTCATTACTATGTGACAGCTGGAGATCGAATTTGAATATTGAAACAATGTTGCAAATGTCAGAGAGACAGACAGCAAAGTTTATACAAATCTCAGCTGTTGAAAACTAAATGTTAGTCTAAAAGAAATGTCAGATAATGTCTAGATGCTTTTTATAGCGGAGATCAAGTTTATCAATTGCCTGGCTGGGTTGATGAGACAGTTGATTGCGCAGTCAGATGGAACAGAGTAAATAGGCATTTTACCTTCATAGATTTAGCCGGTGGTAATTTGTGGAATAGACACTGTCTGGAATGCGGTTTTAACCAATCATCATTCAGGATTAGACCCACCCGTTGTTGTATAAAGCTGATTAAACTCGTTGCGTTCTAAACTGAAGATCATGATTAGTTGATTATTAGAGGCAGGTGTGTTAGCTGGGGCTGGGGTAAAAGTGTGACACCAATCAGGCCCCCGAGGACTGGATTGCCAATCCCTGTGTTAGACAATGCCACTTGGGATGTGCCTGAGCACCACACAGTTGCTGGTTTTGTTGGTCGCCTGACCACCAGGTCCAGACCCTCTCACAAACTGCTCGTCTTTATTGAGGACAGGGAGGTCAATGTAATATATCTTACCGGTGGACTGAACGTGTGCCAAGCCAACGGGTGGCACAGTGAAAGGTGGTCGCCATGTTATCCTCCCTGTCACTCTTGAGGACATTTAATGGGCATTTCCCACCCAAATTACGTGACAGCGCTCGGTTTGTATTTACACTCAGTTTACAGTGTTTCAATAACGCAGCGGACACATGTAGGTGAAAATAAAAAGTATACATTTGTATTTATGCTTGCAAAAACCATTTCCTGATCACGATACTTCATCTTCGGTGGGGTTTATCGGCGGTTGGCATCCAACGTTATGGTGCATTACCGCCACCTACTGTACTGGAGTGTGGGCCAGAGACAGGGAGAAACTAAATCCTACCTGCCAGCCCGTTGCTCTTAAAAAAGATAACATATTTGACACTATATCTAATGACGTTCTACTCAATATACTCTTTAAACTAATTTCCTGTATCCCCTTCTCCCTCATACTAGATCTCATCCTCTCTCTTTCTCTCTGATACTGCCCACACTGTAGCAATACATGCTCCACCGTCTCTGTTTCCTGGCAATAATCACTACATGCTCCACTGTCTCTGTTTCCTGGCAATAATCACACTTTCCTGTTGGATGCTTTCCTATCACGTTTAAAGTCTTATTCAACTGGCTGTGTCCCACCCTTAATCTTGTAAAAAATATCCTCCTCTGTTCTGTCCCTTCCTGCCGTCATCCCCTCCCCGACTTTCCTCTGTAGTAGAAATAATTGCCTGGCCTTAGTATCTCTATTCCACTGCTCCTGCCATCTCTGCATCACCACTGTCCATATCAGGCTTTCCCCTCTGCCTTGCTCATTGAAACATACAACATCAACATCCCCACTACTAAGGGCTTGTTTAGCCAGTACATCAACTGCCTCGTTCCCCTCCACCCCCACATGGGCTGGGACACAAGTAAATCTTATCTGTATACCCATCTGTCTAATCTTGCCATGGGTTTGTAGCACCTCATAAAGCAGGTCTTGTCTGCTACGTGAGCTAAAGGACTGGAGACTCATTAACACTGCACATGAATCATTGCAAATAACTACTCTGTCTGGCTTGACTTCCTCCACCCACTGCAAGGCCAACAGTATGGCCATCAGCTCTGCCGTATATACAGCCAGATTATTTGTAATACGTTTCTGATTACTATACAGCCTAAATCAATCAAGTTTACCGTCTACTTTTTCTTCCTCTTGGATTGGTGGCTATGAACCAACAGTTGCGCACTATCGCCACCACCTGGAGTGGAGTATAAGACGGACCAACACCTCAGTCAAAGATTTGTATAACTAACCCAAGATAGACCAGAGCCTGTCGTTTCCAATGGGAGCAAATTAATCATAATGGGCCGAAACAAGCAAGGAGGTTGGCAGAACCAATCACGAGCTAGTGGGATCCTATTGGCGCGTGCTAGCATTTATTTGCATATTTCCGTTATGGAACAGCTACTCTGTGAAGTGCACGTGTGCAATAACTTAATTCGCCCTTGCACTCCTTCTAAACAATTGTGAAACTTTGGCAAAGGGTAAAGTCTACATCTGTTTGGGGAAACAGTAAGACATCACCCTCCATATGCTAGAATTTGTTGACCTATTCACAATCAAACTTTGGTCTGTGAGGGAAGTAGATTTATCTAGTGTTTTTGTGAATGTGTGACGAAAGTATAGATAATAGTAATAGGCATTATCTCTCACATAATGGACAGCAGAGCAGCCTGGGCCTGATGAAGACTACCATGCACATTCCAGATGTTGACCAAGCACCCTTCACCCTCCCTTGCTCCCAGCCCAACAATCTTCTGTTGATCCATTAGTGGTAGGATCTGGGATGACAGTGTGGGATTATGTGTGATATTTCACATTTTTAAAACCAATGCAATTTGGTTGATAATGGAGTACTATTCCCTTAGACACCACAAACAGATTGGATCAGGTGACTCTCAGTTTTGTTTAGGAGGAGCTTGATTCTCCTATCTGTTGCATCCATATTATGTCACACAAGTGAGAAGGTTTCTGTGGGTTTGGCTCATAGACCATATATATAAAGGTCTGGCTATAAACAATGCAACAACATCTGTCTGCAAGGCCCCATGTTGCCTTAAAGCAGTGATCACCAACCGGTCGATCTCCAAGGCGTTCCAGTCACCGAACATTTCTGTAAAAAAGCCAATGATAAAGCCTTGCGTTCCTATTTTTTTTATTCGTTTCGCGCTTTGTCGGTAGATTCAGCAGCCCTAGCGCCGGGAAGGCAAAGTGTTCCCATTTTGAACCATTTCATGTGTCTGAAGCTAGATCTCAGCCTACCCGGCAGGCCCAGAAAGCAAATCAAGTGCACTTATAGTTTACCGATGGCCAATCAGATAGCTCAGATCGCCGTGACTGCAGTTTCCTTGAGCCATAGACTGTAAAAAGCCTCGATTGCACAGCGAAGCTGATACTGTGAGATTTCAAAACTCTGACTAGAGAGCGACTCAATGAATACAGCAAAGAGCTGCTGTTTTTATGTGTAAATTCATGTTTAAATTGTTAGTCAGCAGCACTGTCAACACTTTGTTCAACACCTTGTATAAGCCACAAAATGCACGTTCGCCCTACCTCCACACGCTACAACCAGCACTGCAGCGCCAGTGAATGAGTATAGCAAAGTGTTTCGATAAACTTGCTTTGTTATTATTAGCATATAAAGCGAACGCGCCAAAGGTTCCGTGGTCTAATCTCATCATGGACAACTTTAGCATTTTAGCAATTTTGCAACTAATTTACTTAGCATGTTAGCTAACCCTTCCCCTTCCCCTCACCCTTTAACCTAACTCCTAACCCAGCCTGATCTCATAGACTAGACGTAACATAGTACACGTAAATCCGAGAACCTAATTAATCTGCTATGTTACGTTTGGTATGGTTATGTGCATATAATGTGAACTTCTAGCAACCATTTTAGCTAACTTCTAGCAACCCAAAGGTTGCGTGTTCGAATCTCATCATGGGCAACTTTAGAATTGTAGCTAATTAGCTACTTTGCAACTACTTAGTATGTTAGCTAACCCTTCCCCTAACCCTAACCTTAACCATTTTAGCTAACCCGTCCCCTAACCCTTTAACCTAACTCCTGAACTTAACCCTAACCTTAACCCTAACCCCTAGCCTAGCTAACGTTAGCCAGCTAGCTAACGTTAGCCACTTAGCCGCCTAGCTAGAATTCTTAACATGTAGTATATTTAGCAAATTCGTAACATATTGTACGTTTTGCAAATTCAAAACATATAATACGAATTGTAATTTGTAACATATCATACGAAATGGGTGATGGACATCCACAAATTAATAAATACCATACGAAATTTAACATCTCATACGAAATGGTTTCTCTCAGATTTACGTGCGGAATAATACGAAATGCTCTGAGACCAGGTTGCCTAACCCTAACCTTAACCCCTAACCCTTTCCATTATAATAGCCTAGCTAATGTTAACGTTAGCCACCTAGAAACAAGAAATTTAAATTCGTAACATATAATTTGTATTGCAAATTCGTAACATATAATTTGAAATATATGATGGACATCCACAAATTAATACATACCATATAAAACGTAAGATATCATGCAAATGGGGGAGACAGATTTACATTTACTATGTTATGAGTCCATGTTCATTGTATAGCTATAACATTACCACTGTCATATGCACAAGCTGAATTTTTCCTTGACGTCACTTTATCCTTTCATAAGAATGCATCATATTGCTCTGTTTGCGGAAATGGGTTCTGCACGATCATTTGGCCAACAGGAGGCGCATTCCATTTGACCTGAGTGCGAGAGGGAACCAAGTTCATAGCTGTGGTTCACTAATAGCGAACAAGACTTGACCGCTCTCCGAAGCTCAGGATGGCGAGTGTAATCACCATATTTTCGCTATACTCTTGATTCAGGAGGATATACGGACTTCGCTTTTACCAGTGTTTGAATCCGCTGCACTTTCTGAGCGTCTCTTTCGCTTGAGGGGGAACTGAAGTGAAGGCAGAAGGCAACTCGTGTGTGAATTACTACTGGATACAGGGAAGTCAAGGACGTTCAGTACATGGCTTTTCCGTCGGTTAACTACCATAAAGCTTAGGGCCACCGTAGTTATTTGGGCAAGGAAATTTGAGGACTCGGATGCAGCTCGAGACAGATGATGAGCTGTCCCTAATTCCTGTTGTACATGAAGTCGTTAAACTATCAAACGGCCTCAAGACGAAGGAAAGGAAACTGTCTCAATTAATTGTGGGCTACATTGTAACATTTCAAGCTGGTATTAAATGCCACCTTGTATTCTACTTCTATGTCTGCTGAGTATAGGAATCAGCACGCGCTCTTGAAAAAAAACCGAGGGAACGGGCCAATGAACTTTGATTTTGGGTGAGTGATATAGTATTCTATTTCAGCGTACTGGTGTTTATCATTTTTATGCAGGGTATGTGACGAGCATGGGAAGCCATTAATTTGTGAATACCATGCCGCGATGTTGCTAGGTAACTGCCTTGGTGTAAAGAAGGTGGGTTTACTTTGGATCACAGTGAAAATCTCGGAACAATTTCAGTCCTTTCCCCCCACAGAGAACAGCAATTCAATATCCAATTGCATATGAAATGTTCACCATGTTTTCATCATAACTCACGCTCAGATGTAAGTGTATGTCTAGTAGTAGTAGGTGAATGATGCGATGCCATAACGGGGGAATGAGGGTTCGATTCCGGAGAGGAGCCTGAGAAACGGCTACCACATCCAAGAAAGGCAGTCAACAAGTCACCATCAACAATCTCTTCATCAGCACACTAAATAGATCAATTAATGCAGGAGAGAACTAATTAACAACTCTGGATTTGTTGAATGCTGTTGAAAAGAGACGCATTATAACACTTCAAACTATTCCTGAAAATGTAAATGTAAATGTATTCCCTCTGTCTGGTAATTGGTTTGGGGAACAGTATCATTGTTGCCTCAGCCTGTCACTTGTAGTGGTGCTTGTTATCATCTGAAGATTGTGTAACATGTTGCACATGCGAGTTGTTAATAAAATTGGAACACTACCTTTAAT